AAACATTCAGCAGTGACTATGGCAAAATTTGATCCGGTTACTTAAATGCACAGCCAAACAGCCAAGTCTTGAGCGCCTTTGCAAAAGGTCGCAACTCCGACATTGCTCTAATATATGGAGGCAATGAGTTCCACAGAACTGGAGCATAGGTCGAAAAAGCTCTACGCCTTGTAGCTTCCAAATGTGCCTCTCTAGGACCCGGTATGTATAGGAGATTTTCCTGGGTGGATCGAGGTGACCACTGATAATAACAATAATAAATGGAGTAAAATAATAAATGTAATAATAATGTAATAATAATAGAGTAAAATAATAAATGTAACAACAATAATAATAGCAGACTAAAACACTAAGTAACTTTGACTTGAGTATAAGCCAAGGGGGGCTTCTCCTGCCTTAAAAAGGGCTGAACAACTCGGCTTATATTCGAATATATATGGTACGTATCTCCAAGCCATCTATCTCCTGAGAGTGTGTGTCTTTTTTCTTTCATTCAGGCTTGGAACAGGCCCTTTTGGACATGTGTGTTGGGTAAGTAGTAATCTCCTCTGCACTTGTCTTATCTCAGGTTACTACCTCTGGAAGACATGTTTCCTGATATTGCATCATATAAGCTCAAGCCTTGAAAAAATGAACTGTTTACCTGCCTTTACTTCTCATAGAGAAACCTGGAAACTGCAGTTTGGTTAAAGGAATTAAGATTTTCCTTTGACCAGCCCTTCTTAATCCTTCCTGAATTTATAGTTTTCCACAATAGGGAACGGTTGATTTAATAAACCTTTGAAAAGTAACTTTTGGGACTCCAGCTGCCCAAATCCTCCAACCAGCATGGTCAGTGGCTGACCTGACAGACTGGGAGACTTTAAAAAAAATTCATGAGGGGCAACTTGAGAAATTTGGCCTTTTCATCAAACTGTGCTTCAAATTATTCACAACAGGTTTCCTTTAATATGAAACAAAACTGTCATATCTACACAGAACCCAAAAACTCTTCTCCTAGCCAGCAAAGGAAGCCACAGGAGACATATTTCCTGTCAGCACTGTAGTCCTAGGGTTACTTTCAGGCAGGAAGCAGGAAAGTAGGCTTCCTGCAGTTGCCCTTCTCTGAGCAATGGAGTGAGGCTCTTTCTGGAAATTTTGTGTATGTGTGTGTATTGTGTAGAGCCTCTTAATGCCCTGCTCTTCAGTTCAGTAATATTTCTGCTACTAACCTTTGGCACATTTGTATTCACCACCCGAAGTTATTGACTTCATTGGGACGTGTGTCTCAGTTGACATGTATAGGAATATGTAGTTAATAGAGTCTAATAGCCATTGCCTTTCTCTAAAGTAAAATACTTCAGAGAAATCACTTCCTCGGTCGCATGAAATTAAATTCCAGTTCCATGATTCTTAGGAGGCATGTACATAGTAGAATGAATGCAGTTTAACTCCCATGGGTCAATGATATGGAATCCTGGGAGTTGCAGTTCTTCAAGGCCTTCGCCTTCTCTATCAAAGATTACTGGCTCCTCTTTGCACTGGTGCATTGAGCCATGGCAATTAAAGTGGTGTCAAACTGCATTTATTCTACTATGTAGATGCACTTTGAGTGGAAGTCTAAGACAGTTAAACTCACATCCATGTTTAATGTGGATAAGCACTCTGTTTATCATAAGTGTAATACATGATCCAAGGGTTAGCGGAGAGATTCTCCATTGACTTTATATATCAGGTGCCACTTTTCTTTATTTTTCAAAATCTTAATGGAAACATACTTTCTCCCTTTTCCTAGATCCCAGCCCTTCATTTATGAAAGTTTACTATTTTAAGAATTTTTGCTCCAGCTATGTAAACATAAAGCCTTCTATATGAAGAGAAAAATCCAAAGAAAACTGGTCTAACACGTCTTTCTAGTTTTTCCCCCCCTAAATCCATCTGCTTCCCTTTCTGTCCTGGAAAAAGTAAGGTCTCACTAAAGACTAATCCCATGCCTGGTTTATTTATGCTGCACAGATTATTTTGAGAAGCTCATGGTGAAGTCTGTAGACATGGACAAAAATGCTCAGTTCTTGAAAACTGAAAGGGTCTTTCCTTTTTTCTGACAGAGAGAAACGAAGAGTCATCATTCCTCCTCAGCTGGCATATGGCAAGCGAGGCTCCCCACCTGCTGTCCCAGGTATATATCAGCCACTGGTCCCTACCTGAGTGCAATTCAGTGAGACTGGCAAGAGACATCAGATAACAATGTTTAGCAATGTGTTGTTGGAGTGTTTTTGTCCAATAGGGAAGATTGATATGCTCCTAATTCCACTTTTACCCCTTATGGCCACTCGCGTAAGTTTGTCTCTAACTGTTCCCCAACATATCTTGAGACTGGGAATGTGTAGCCCTCCAGATGTTGGTGGACTTGAAGGGTGAATGGTGCAGGATGATGGGAGCTATGGTACAACACCAACTCTTGAGGCACACTTTTTCTACCCTTGTGCAAGTAAGATTTGCCAATTTAAAATTCTCTACAATGAATTTATTTCTAGATTCCCTCTCATTTCTCTGTCACAAATGAGAGCCAAAATGACACCTACACCTCTCATGTGCATCCGCTGTAAGAGAACATGGGTTCATCATTCTATCTTCTCTAAAGCAGGAGGAGGAGAGTCAACTTCCAAAAACTGATATAAAAACTATATGTTAAGCTTCCCTAGAAGCAGTAACAAAATACTTAGCTCTCTGTGGCATTCAGACTTTGGTTTGTATTTCAACAAACTATCAGAGAGAAAAAGTGGGATATAAATCAGCATAACAAGAAGAGGAGGAAGATCTGGAGAGTCACAGGTTCTCCAACCAACCTATGCTGGTTTTGTATAAGGGGCTGAAAGGGAAGTTTACCAGGCATGTGGAAACAGTGCTGTATGTCTCCATTGCCTGATAAAAAGGTAGTGCAAACTATTGGTTGTGTTTTAGCCACTATAGATGCATACTGGTTATAATACTATGGAGAGCTAGATTTTCTGTGGAGAAGTTGCTACTTGCAACATTCCCTTGCCTCTCACGTAGTTGTATTATTTGCCAGCTCCTTCCAGTTGTGCATGATCCAATTCCTTGATCTCTTCAGCTGATGCTGTGCTGCAGTTTGAGGTGGAGGCAGTTGGACTCTCCAGAGCCAACTACTGGCAGAAGATGTCCAATGAAGTGCTGCCCCTGGTCTGCATTGGGCTCGTCCCAGCCCTTCTTGGGCTTATTGGCTACTACCTCTACAAGAAGGCACAGGCACCCCGTGTGTCCAAGAAGAAACTCAAGGAAGAGAAAAGAAACAAAGCCAAGAAGAAATAAAGTGCCTTTTCTCCTTTTTCAATACATCTTTGTGCCTTTTATTGTTATGAGGTGGCAAGTCCTCACATGTTCACAGTCATGCCCTCCTTCACGTGATTAGGAAGACATCGCTGCATTCATCTGAATCAGTATATGAAAGATTCTTGTTGCACTTTTGAAACTCACTGGGAGAAAGAAGTTGGTAGCATAAGCTTCCATAGATTTAAGTTTACTTCATCAGATGTTTGGAGTAAAATGCCCATGCATCCAAAGTAGATTAAGTCTGCAGAAGCTTATGCTACCAATGTTCTTTCACCCAATTGGTTTCAAAAGTGTGACAAGATGCCTTTTGCATACAGGAAAGGATAAGAGGCACTGTTGTGATGAACCTTATACAAAGACAGCAGAGTCAAGTAGATGTGAAATGGTTACTAATTAGGCACCAAGGGCCACCTAGAAAATACAGAGTTAGTAGTACTTGCTCATTTATCAGTGTACAAAAAGGTTACAGATGACATTAATTATGTGTGTCTTAGCACTGACTGGGCTGAAATATAGAACAAGAAATGCTTTTCTAATCCTTTCAGTACCTCTTCCCTGGATTCTCTGGAAAGGGCCTAGGGACTGCTAAGGAGGACTCTAGAACTTTGAGCAAACTACATTTTTACAACGGGTAGTGTAAGTACAGCACAAAAATAAAGGTAAAGGTTTCTCCTGACATTAAATCTAGTTGTGTCCGACTCTAGGGAGTGGTGCTCATCTCCATTTCTCAGTCAAAGAGCCGGCGTCCGTAAACACCTCCAAGGACATGCAGCAGCATGAGTGCATGGAGTGCCATTACCTTCCCGCAGAAGCGATACCTACTGAGCTCATATTTGCTTGTTTTCAAACTGCTAGGTTGGCAGAAGCTGGGCCTAACAGCAGGAACTCGCATTGCTCCCCGGATTCGAACCGCCAACCTTTTGTTCAGCAAGTTCAGCAGCTCAACAGTTTAACTCGCTGCACCACCAGCGAGTCCATATATATTCATGTATAAGTCTAAAAATGTTAATCAAAACATCAACTGAAAAAAACTGGGTTAATTTATTTACAAGTCAATATGATTACTGTAAATTTAACTCTTATCAGAAAAGGAGCCACCCCCCTGAGTAGAATGGCAAAAGGCAAGAGTTTAGTCCATCCCAGGAGAACCTAAATGTAGAACTAACCTCTTTTATACCGCCACGGTGCTGCTTCTGACTGCTTTGAAGGCCTGAGCAACAAAAGGATGTAGCAGCCAGGGGCCGCTGACCCCCCCCCCCAACTAATGCAGCATTGGTACTTATCTCCTCCATCAAATGACCCTTGACCTGATACCCTAAAACCTGCCCTAAACTTATATATGAGGTTGATATATACTTGAGCAATTGAGTATATATGGTGTTTGTGGTACAGATACGTCCTTGGAATAGGGGCCATAGTGTACACAGCAATTGATACAACACACATCTTCTTAGGATACTGCCAAGACAGTTACTTTGCAATTCACTGTAACCTTTGTCCTCTGGGCCTGCCTTTACTTTGAGTCTGAACTTGTATACCTTTCTGCTTTGAACTCTCAAAGGAAATATTAAATAGAAATATACATAAAAAGGTGGAAAGGAAAGTGGCTGTGAAAACATCATAATCACAAACATATCTAAATCAAGCTTTCTTCTATTTTTGTGCCACAGCATCCATCCCATAAAGTACTGATTACATGTTATTGAAATTGAAGTGGGGGTTACTCAGCTTGTGGACACACCACAGTCCAAGTACCCAGTATATGGAGTTTGGGGTTTGCTTACAAAAGGGAGAAAAGACATAGACTTCAGCTCAGTTTTAACTCTTTAATGGCAGCTTGCCGTGGGAACATCCTTCCTCTGAAGGTCCCAGTACAGACCTCTAGCTGAGAGAGCCTAGCTCTTCTTTATGCCCAAAGATCGGCCAATGAAGCAGAGAGGGGCACTCTGGAATCACCATGCGCTTGCTCAGAGGATACGCTTGACTTCATGTGCTGCCTCGACGACATTATAGATAGGCCGCTTGACCCGGTCTTCTCTGACAGACATAGGTTGTTTAGGAGATGGCATAACAGCTGACTGGTTAACAATCATCAAAGGATTGATCTGGCTTAGAACTTCATCGTTAACGGAGATGCCATCCAGGTACTGCTTGAGCAGTTGCCTCAGTTTAAGATTGTCCTGGAGCAGTGCTTCCTTGGTCCGCTCCAGTGACAGCTGCTCCAGCCTCACCTTGTTGTATCTTTGCCAGAAGCGCTCCAGCCCCACATAGTCTTGCATCATCTGTAAAAGAGAGAACGTGCAGATGCAAGGCCAAGTTGCCCTGGTGCTGTAGTGGACGGGCATGGCTTTGCCCACAAAGGGATGCCTGATAGTGATATTATGTGAAAGAGACAGTTCCTGAGCAGTTTTCATATCAAGAGATACTTCTTGTGACAACCTCTGGGCTTTTTTTACAAAGGTGTCAAATAGCAGGATGGAAGCCAAGTGTCACAAACAGCACCAATTTGGAGGGTTATGTATGGACAGAAGGAGTAAGCAGAAAGGATTCTGGGAAAGACCGAACAATAAAAAAGCAAACACCACAGGGCTAACTACATATGATGTCAATTACTTCATTTGCGAGAAGTAATTGACATCATATGCAAGAAAATCCAACCAGTCCATACTTTAGGAAATAAAGCCTGACTGCTCACTGGGGGGAAGGATATTAGAGGCAAAGATGAAGTACTTTGGCCACATCATGAGGAGACAGGAAAGCCTGAAGAAGACAATGATGCTGGGGAAAATGGAAGGAAAAAGGAAGAGCGGCTGACCAAGGGCAAGATGGATGGATGTTATCCTTGAAGTGACTGGCTTGACTTTGAAAGAGCTGGAGGTGTTGACAGCCAACAGGGATCTCTGGAGTGGGATGGTCCATGCAGTTACGAAGAGTCGGAAGCGACTGAACGAATCAACAACAAAAACTTCACTTCAGGTTCTTTGCCCTTTACCATTAACAGGAGATACATGGGCATAACCTACATGAGGCTGGGGTCTTAAGTAGATTATGGTTGTTATGTGTTGAGGGGAAAGTTATTTTTCCTCCCCTATTAGATCTCAGTGAAAACTCCTCTCATCAGCTGCTGCTAGTCTCAGGAAAGAAGCCTACAATGGCGTCTGTATAATTTTGCTTCAAGCCAAGATCTCAACAGGCATAGCAGCCTACCCAGGAGAGAACAGTATTCAATGCCAACCTGACAAAGCCCTGGGGATATGGAATAATATTCATGTTCCAAAAGAGATTAATCAAACAATGAGCCAACAGAACATTATTCTTCTCTTTGTCAGAAAAGCAGCCAGATGCATGCACCCCATCCATTTGCAAATCCAGGCTACTCACCTCTGCCAGTGGTTCAACAGGCTTCTCCATGATGATCTTATCTGCAGTCCTCTGCTCATCCCAGCTAAGAGAGCTTGCATAAAACGGCAGCACCTTCTCCTCCTCAGACTCCAACCGGCGACACATTTCAGCCAGGCGCAGAATCAGTTCTCCCTGTTGGGACAGGAAGCAACCACTGGATAGGATAGGTTTACTTCTAGGTCTGGCACTGGTTTTGTTTGCCAAGATGGAAGTATACTGTGTGCATCCAGTATGGTCCTAAATTGGAAACTGTGAAGGCAACGCTTAGGAATGGTCCTAAATGGAAAGTGTCAACACTTACCAGGAACTACCATTTCCAGCAATCTTTAGGCCCTTCTACTTTTTACATGTCTTTCTCTACATACTCAAGGCTACTTCCTCTACCTTCCAGGAAGAGAAGGCTCAGGAGGATTATGTGGGGCCAGAGAGAAGGTGGAAATTACACCTGAAAGACGGTCTCCACTAATACTCGCATGTCTGCAGCCAACTAACTATTTTTAGACACTAAAGCTGTGTCAACACAATTTCAATCCCTTTTCCTTATAATTCTAGGAGTTTCCTCAGCTCCAGATATCACAGAAAACTAGGCTTACATGCCTTTCAATCACATTTGTATGTCTATATATCTGGAGGTGTCCCCCAGTCAGTTTTACCTTCTCTACCACATGTTCCAGTGTTTTGAGAGTCCCAGTGCTCTCCCTGGTAAGCTTTGCCAGATTGTTGCGGGCTTTGGCTCTGGCCCGGTTCATCAGGGACTTGAGCTTCTGAAGCTGTTTCAGCACCAACTCCTTCTCGTCACGAACACGCCGATTTTGCTCCTCGCTTTCCCGTGCATGAAGGGCAATCTTGTTCCTCAGAGTGATTATGAGGTCCTGGCAACAACAGGCAATGCTGATAACTGAGATTATATTTCCAGATTAGTGGACATTCTCCATAGAAAGGCTTCTTAAACCTTTTCCACTCACAACCCCTTTCTACCCAAGAAATTTTTACATGAACCCAGGTGTACAAATATATTTAAAAGATATAAAAACCAAACATTTACTGATAATAAATCAGCAGTGTAGATCCAGCCATAGAAGGGGCCTAAAAGGGGGAGAGGCATCACCACCCATTTTTGTCATTATTATATCAACTTTGATCTACTCCTACCCAGAACTGCCCCTCACTGTTAAGTTGTCCCCAACTCTTTTTCTCTCAAGGGAATATGGCCTTGCGTCCTACCTGGGATCTACCTGCTACCCATGCAAGACCTCTAATACAGTAGGTGAAGTGCAATACTAAGTACACAAGCAACTACCCCTTGCCTGAAGTTCCACACATTCCCTAAACTGGTGCCTTAAAAAGTGAATTTCCTGTCTTGGAAGCTTTCATATGCAGCAATTCATCTTTTCAAAAGGTTCCAGAGCACTCCAGCACAATTTCAAGCCAGAGGGGATGTTCTCCAGCTCTTGTTCTTGTCCTTGTTTATTCATTTTCTGGCATTCTTTGCCATTCATAAACCCCCTCCCTAAGGTTTGCAGAAACCGAAAACTGACAGCTGGAGCTCCTGCAACTGCCTACTCTACACCAGTTTGTTTGTTTGTTTGTTTGTTTCTAGACCACCCTCTCTCCCTGAAGGGACTCAGGGCAGTTTATACACACACACACACACACACACACAAAAGGAAGCATTCAATGACTCAGGTGAATCAAAATAATATACACAATATCTTCAGGTAGGAGGTTTATCTGCAGCCACACCAGTTCCTGTAATCAATAGCAGGGCTTTTCACAATGTTGCCATGGTAATAGGCATGGATATGGCCCCCATGTTTGCAACAAACTGATGAGAAATGAATGGCACTGTGGTTTAAACTGAAGTCCCACTCGCTGGTGGATGTCATTGTATGTAGACCAAAGAAAGTATGGCTGAAGAAAGACCACAGATTAGCTATTCAGGTAGTGAATTGTAGAAGATATATATGATAGAGATGTGGCTCAGCTAAGGCCCTGGAAGAATCCGTTCATGCTATGATTATGGAGGAACATAGTTGTGTTGCAGAGGTGACCCAGCTGTGCCACAGACGCTCGGAAGAAACCACGCCTAGAGTTTCAGCAGCCCCTTGCACCCAAGAACAATCTAAGATGGATACAACTGAAAGAAGGTGCCCACCTGCATCTTCTGCAGCTTCCTCATCTGCATCTCAATTTCCTTGGTGCTCCTCTCATCCCTGAGTCTGAGAGCTTCGAAGGCAATTTTGCGGTCCTCTGTGGCCTCTGTATAGTTACGCAAGGCTTGCTGGAAGCGTTTCCACAGATTTTCCACTTTACCCTCTAATTGCACACGAAGGTAATGCTTCTCCTCCAAGTTCTGGGGAAAAACAAAAAGACATCAGTCCCACATGGGTGCCCCCCCCCATCCCCATTTACTCTACAATCATCTGATTAAGTAGCTCCTTTTAGTGTAGGTAAGCCTAGTGCTCCTAGTTAAGCAACACTTTCATTCAAACACACAATAAGACAACAAAAACAAATCCTGGGTATTCCACAGATATATAAACCTCATTTGCCTAGTTTCCAACAGACCTCACAATCTCTGAGGATGCATGCCATAGATGTGGACAAAATGTCAGGAGAGAATGCTTCTGGAACATGGCCAGACAACCAGCAATCTAGTGATTTCAGCCACGAAAGCCTTCGACAACACAATTGGCTTTTGTTTTTAGCACGAACTACAAGCAATCTTGTAGCCTGGAAATAAGTTCAAATACAGTCTTGGTATCCTAGCTGCCAAGATCTCTCGAATAGCTGAATTAACGTTTTGAGGAACATAAGGCCTCATTCCACTAGAGAAAAAATCTACTTAAAATCTGGTTTCTGCCTCCTGCAGAATTCTGGGATTTGTAGTTTAGCGAGGAGCCTTTTAAAAGAGGCAACTGGCCTCTAGTGTGATGATAGTCTATAGTCACCACTGCCATATGATTCTCTCACTCATCTTCCCAGTACAATGGACAATGCAACATCATCAATTTTGGTATGCTTTGGGAGTATCTCCAGGCACATTCACACTCTACTTAAGCTCAGGTGGATCTCTGTAACCTATCAGTGCTCAAAGGAAATGGGATTATCTAGTGAGCTCTTCACCTTGCTTCCCACGGCATTAAACACCAAGAGAAGAAACAGGAAAGAGCTGTACCGGATGACCAGTCTAAATGGACTAGCTGAGACTTATGCCATGTTAGGTGGCTAAGAGGATATTAGCCATACATCTCAGTAGTGTTAGGCATATCATGCACATAGAACATTTATTTTTCCTGAGAAAAATCTCAGTTTGAGCAAACCTCTGGTGGGTATCTTTACATAGCTCCCTAGTTGCACTTTGTCTGGTTTAATTAGTTACATAAACATGTATATGCTGACATATTCATCTGTGTCATACATTAACCGCTACTTGAAAAGACTGCAATAAAAAAAGGAAGAACATCAATAATTATACTGGTCAAAACACATTTTGGTGCCTCAGATGTTAGCCCTGTTTCTGGGTATAGTTGACCTGCTGATGTAGTCTATCTAATACAGTTTTCTGAGTCAGCAGCCCACATAATCCAAGAATAGGCCTAAAAATCAAGACACCAAGAAATTATTTTGGTTGGACTGTGTTGTCTAATAATGAGATGCCAATGTACATATGAAAGAATGATCGTCTGCTACAGTTTATTGGCTATATTGTTTCTAAGGACCCTTGTACACTGTCCTTATATCGAGGATCTGATCCCAGGTTATCTGCTTTGAACTGAATGAATCTCCGCTGCCAGATAATCTAGGATAAGCATATAATCTGGGATCAGATACTGGGATATAAGGACAGTGTTGAAGGGGCCTAAGGCATACATACAAACGCCTTGATAATTTCTGTTCCAAAACGTGACCATTCCCTCACCCGTCCAGTTCACTAGGCACAGTGTTGCATCCTGTATCTCAACTCCCACCTTGTTCTTCACATCATCTCTCGTACTCTGGAAATCTAGCCTGGCCTCATATTCACTGTCAGCAAAATTTTGTTCCATAGCCAGCAGCACATCCTGAATGTAGCGGGTCTCCTGATCGTGATGCCCTATGATCATCTTCCTGAAAGAAAGAATCTCATGAATCCACCCCACAGGCCAGCCAATGCAATTTTCACAGTAACTGAATTGTCATGTTTCCATCCTCTCTCCTACCTCTCTGTGTCAAACTCCTTCTGCAGGGCTCGTAACTCAGTCTGGTAATCCTCTTCTAAGTATCCCAGGCGGCATCGCTGCAACTGTAGTAGCTGGTCAATGTTGCGCAGGTGGCTGCGTAGGGCATGCGCATATTGAGCTTCCGCTTCAGCAAGGTCCTTAGCAAGGGACTGAAAAGATATAGTTGGATCACTTGACTAGCCCTGGAAAACCACCTGTAAGCTGAAATGTTTCAAAATGTTCGCTTTTGTGTTGCTTACTCTGTCTTTTCCTGTTAACTATGTAACAAAAGTTAACAAAAATTATACAGAAATAGTTCATATTTGTGTGCCTTTATGGCTGCCTGAATCATGATTTTACTGCAATATGGAATCTGCAATTCCTCTTCACCACAGCTTTTTACTGAGATCATAATTACACAAGATTTTTCAGAGAAGCTTCTCTAGACATTCTATATATTCACTAAGCTCATTACGGTATCCTTTTACTTCGTCTTTGCATTTACCTCTTGAGGGTAACCAAAATAGTTTAAATAAATACATATTGCAAAAATCCACAATAAGTGTGTGTGTGGGGGGGGGGGGGATCATGTTTCCTTCCAGTGTTGTGGCTCACCCTAATGACATTGTCTTTGCAGTCCACCACACGTTCAAAGGTCTGGCTGAGAATCTCAATGTCTTTGCGTAGCTCTCTGGCCTTGACTTCGCGGAGGACCGTGCGCCACTGCAGGTTGATCTTGTGCATGTTCACAGTGCTATTATGCTCCTCCTTGGCCAGTTTGTCCTGCATGGCAGACCACAACATTGAACTAAACACACTGCAGACATCACAAGGTAATGCATCAACTCAAGTACAAGAGCAGTGGCGATAGCTAATGTAAACATGGCCAAGCTGCAAACAACAAGTTTACAACATCAATAAGTTACCATTCATCACAGCCATTTATGGAAACACAGTTATTGCTCTATCCCTGAAATCTCTAAGGTGAAAATTCTATCAGCCCGACATCTGAAAGTAAAGTGGCAATCAGTTCAATTGCATGTTGACTTGTGGAGACCCTGTGGATTTTACAGGGTTTTCATAGGCAAATACTCAAGAGGTGGTTTTGTCAATTTTCCGATATATTGCCTCCAGCACCTGGTATTCATTGGTGGTCTAACATCCAAGTACTAACCAAAATACTAACCAAAATACTCACCCTACTTAGCTTCTAAAATCAGATGGGATTTGGTAGCGTTAGGCTACATAAAATTTAATGTTATCTTTGAACTGGAATCCTTTGGGACAATGAGTTAGACAATTATGGGGCACATTCCACTCCCCACTGCAACATATAATGTAAAACAGGAGCATGAAAGTTATGGTTCTCTAGAAGGGTTGCCTACAATTCTCATGACTCCCTCATCATGGCCAATAGTAAAGGATTGTGGGAACTATATTCCAAAACACCTGGAAGGTGCAGCAGCATCCCTGTTCTATGGCCTGTTGCCATTCTTTAATCTAAGGAAATTGTTGCCACTGGAAGCCTTTGAATTACTCCACTGTATTTGACAGAATATTTCCTGGCATTTGTTTTGGATTAATGATTACAGAAGTGAAACATTTCAGACAGGTTTTTTTTCCCCAAAACCTAAGGGTGCTTCCATATGATGCTTTTATACTGCAATTACTCTGGCTCATTCAGAGTTTTGGTGGGGTGGAAAACGTCCAGACAACGGCAGGTTCCATTTGCAATCCTCCTATTTCTTCTATCTTGTCTTGCAATCAATTAAAGAGAGCATTAAGGAGGACATGAAATGGTTGCACAACGCCATTCAACTTGGAAGCACTCTATGACTCTCCTTATTTGCTTACTTTCTCAAACAATTCCCATGAAAAAGAAAGACACCTCTGCTATATTGGTTTTTAATTGTTAGTAAGCATACATATCTATGTATAATCTTCCCATATTTAAAAGAACTCTAAAGACCTGCAGTACAATGCTTATTGCTAAGACTCCTTTCTCTACAGAGCTGCAGGTTCCACGGATTTCATCTCCTGCTTCTGTTTTGCCTTGCGCTCCTTAAGTTCAGCCAAACAAATGGTACCTTTAGGAACTGAGCCAGCATGTCCTCTTTCTTCTTGATCATTTCCTCCTCGGCCAGTTGCCTCTGTTGCATCATAAGCAAACGTTCTTCTTCGGTCAGCGGCGCTCGCCTGCGTCCCTTCTTCTTTGGCATTGTTGCAACTAGGAAAGCGGAGACAGCTATGATAATGAGGAGGAACCTTTTACACCAAATATATTAAATATGTATTTGGTCTAAAGCAGTCTCTGCAGAGTTCTACTCCCAACACATCTAGAGGCTTGAAAGTTGGGAAAACTGGTCTAGAACACTGCTTCTAAAACTGTGGGTCCCAACCCCAAATGGGGCCCCCTTAGTTCAATGTTGAGGTCCTGAAAAATTTGGCAACAGTAAGTTTTTGAACGTTAGTCACCTGATAGGTATTTTAGACATTTGCATGAATCTGTTGTGCAGTGTTTACAGTGGACTCTGCAGAAGACACTTCAGCTGTACTTCATAAAAGGGGAAATCAACCTGTTCAGCAAGCCTTGCAAACACTGATTTGCTATCAGTAAATGTTTGATTTTATATGTATTTTATATAACTATATACTCAGGGTTACATTTTGAAAATGGGCCAAATATGAGCCTCCAAGGTACAAAAAGATTTCTGTGAGTAAGGTTAGACAAAGAAATATTGATTAGCGCTAGTCTGGGACTTTAGCCTGGACATCTCATGTCCTTCTTTTCAATTCCCTCACTTTTACCTTTTGCTAAAGTTCTTAGACCTTATTTCTCCCTGAAACCGGGGTCGGCTGACACACTCGCCTTGCTGGTTCTTCTCCCGCAACAGCAGTATAGGCCCAAAACCATGCAAGGCCACTTCTGAAGACACACACTGCTCAAGAGCACCAGCTGGAAGAGAAGGAACAAAGGACGGATGAACTTATCAAATGGTCAACATTAACTGACACATATCACGGGGGTCTGGTTGGTTAGATCTTTATGTTTTCCTCTCCCCTTAATGTGATGCCCCAAATCTGTTCATGTTTAAAACAAAGCAGAGACTAGAAATTAACAAAGGAGGGTTTCCTTACGCCTGTGCTTTCATGCCAGCTACTCATTTTAATGTTTATTTTTACCTGGAATGCAGCTGCTCAAGGCACAGAGCCTTTATTTATTTATTTATTTATTTATTTTTAAAGGGGTGGGGTGTTTTCTTTTTTCTTAGGCTCCTTCCACACAGCTGTATAAATCCACATTGAACTGGATTATATGGCAGTGTGGACTCAGTTCAAAGCAGATATTGAGTATTATCTGCCTTGATATTCTGGGTTATATGGCTATGTGGAAGGGCCCAAAGTTTCTATTAAGAATTCTTCATGGAGTCTTTCCCCCATCGAACTCACATTCTTCATGCCACTCGCTTGCCTGATTCCACTGAAACACTAATTCTCAAATTCTTTGCCATGGCTGAATTGTAAGTACAGTAGTGTCTTGCTTATCCAACCTTTGCTCATCCAACGTTCTGTATTATCCAACGCAGTCTACCTCCCACCCGGATCCACAGCTGTTTCAATGCATTGCAATGTTTTAGTGCTAAATTTGTAATTACTACATAAAATTACCGTATATTAGGTAAAACAATTTTGCATCCAAATTTAATGTAATTCTGACCCCATAGAGACAGGGCACGTCTAGACTACAGAATGAATGTACAGTAGAGTCTCGCTTATCCAACATAATTGGGCCGGCAGAATGTTGCATAAGCCAAAATATTGGATAATAAGGAGGGATTAAGGAAATGCATATTAAACGTCAATTTACGTTATAATTTTACAAATTAAGCACCAAAACATCATATTTTACAATAAATCAACAGAAAAAGCAGTTCAATACATGTCAACGTTATGTATTATTTGCTTCATTTGTATACCGCTCTTCTCAGCCCTCAGGCGACTCAGACTGGTTATGTAGGAATTACTATATTTATGATCTTAGCACCGAAACATTGCAATGTATTGAAACAGCTATTAATCCGGCCGGGAGGCAGGCTGCGTTGGATAATACAGAACATTGGATGAGCGAAGGTTGGATAAGCGAGATTCTACTGTAGTTTGACCCCACTTTATCTGCCAGGGCTCAGTGCTATGGAGTTGTAGTTTTACAAAGCCTTTAGCCTTCTCTGCCAAGGACAGCTGATGCCTCACCAAATGAAAAATCTCAAGATCCCACAGCAATGAGCCATGGCATTTTACAATGGTATCAAACTGAATTAATTCTACAATGTAGATGCACGCACCCTTCCCCTCTCCCTTCTTTCTTTGTCCTTCCCTGGTGGGGACAATGGGGTGCAAACGACTTCTGAGCTCAGGTTTGCACCAAGGAAGGCAAGCAGAGGCTAAAGGGAGAAAGTGGGAGGCCTGGAGGGAGGAACTGGGGCAACAAGGGATGAACTGGAGCAGTTGGAAGCTAAGAGGGAGGCATAGACAGGGAGATTACCTGCCCAGAAAGAGAGAGGAGGGCGCCACGTGATCGCCCCCCCCTTTCCCGCCCCCCACCAGAGCCCTACCTGCCTCTTCCCTGCTCTTTGCTGCAGGAGAGTCTGCCCGGTCGCCTAGCAACAGCCTCTTCCTGGCCGGACCACTGAGGAGTGCGGGCGCCCTCTTGCGGCCTTCCCTGGAACTTTTGGCTGGATCTTCCCTGCCATGTCGTGCAGTGTGTAGACCAGGCATGGGCAAACTATGGCCCTCCAGAGGTTTTGGACTTCAACTCCCACAATTCCTAACAGCCTACCTGTTGGAGCGTGTAAAAATCAGTTKGTGAGTGTGTTAATTAAAAAATGCAAAGCAAGGAACTGATTGGGTGGGCTACGCCCAGAATTCTAGCTGACTCTGGGACTTTTGGCAACAGTCACGTTTAGGTTTTCTGTTCAGGGAACTTGCCAAGACAGTATACTTTTYTGCTTCTGAACTGCTGGAAGAAGACTTTTCACATGGACACCTAAGGACCATTTGACTTCACAACCTCTGAGGGTGCTTGCCATAGATGCAGGCGAAACGTCAGGAGAGAATGCCTCTAGAACATGGCCATATAGCCYGAAAAAACCTWCAACCCATTTGAATCTCTCTCAAAGGATATTGTGTGAGTCAATGCAACTGTTCACATGACTGTATGTATGTTGCGCTGCATAACAAAGAGTAAATAACTTATTATTTACTGAACATTTGCATGGCATATCTTTTCTCTAGCAGTGTGGATTGGTAAAGACATGAACTACGCATGATTTTCATTTCGCCACAGTACCAGCTGTTAGGAATTGTGGGAGTTGAAGTCCAAAACACCTGGAGCGCTGGAATTTATCAATGCCTGGAGTAGACTCATATTATGCAGTTTCACTACAGTGAATGTCATTATATGGGTCTACATTAGCTATACAATGGAGCCCCCGGTGGCGCAGTGGGTTAAACCCTTGTGTCGGCAGGACTGAAGACCGACAGGTTGCAGGTYCAAATCCGGGGAGAGGMAGATGAGCTCCCTCTATCAGCTCCAGCTCCTCATGCRGGGACATGAGAGAAGCCACCCACAAGGATGATAAAAACATCAAAATCATCCGGGCATCCTCTGGGAAACGTCCTTGCAGACGGCCAGTTATCTCACACCAGAAGCGACTTCTGACACGACAAAAAAAAAAAAGCTGTACAATGTAATTCCAAATTATATTATAGATCCAGCCAAAAAGACAAAAGGGATAGTGTAGGATTAGAAGCAAAAGCTTGAAGAAGAATTCTCCCAAAAAAGCAGAGCATCCAAAAATACAAACAGGATACTTAACTGAGAAGTCAGCTCAGAGCAAGAGGAAAGGTGAAGTATTGTGTGGCTGCAAAGAATGTTTGAGCTTAGCAGGCAAAGATGCAAAGTTCAATCTTTAAAGTCACCAAAAAGGTTTATTTACAACCAAGAGCTACATTCCTTGATAGGAAAAAATTGGGTCTAAGCTTCTCTCTAACTGCATAATTTCGAAGTTCCAAAACAAGAGTAAAAACCTCCAAACACTACATCTCTTCAAACACAGAGTAGAGAGGTATGAGTGCAAAGATGAAAAAAGCAGAAGTCTTAGGCCCCTTCCACACAGCAGAATAAAATCCCACATTTTCTGCTTTAAACTGGGATATATGGCAGTGTGGATTCAGATAACCCAGTTCAAAGCAAATATTATGGGATTTTCTGCCTTGATATTCTTGGTTATATGGCTATGTGGAAGAGCCCTTAAAGGCATGCAACACAAAGAGTATCCATTCTACACCACCAACCAGGATGGGAGCAGGAGAGGGAGAACAAATAGATACATTCCAACCAAAGAGAAGGGATTCCCTCAGCCTATTCTACAGTTCCTCATTGAGGGCTGCAGACTTGAGTAGTGTGAGGTTCACTTCCAACATAAATAACCACGGCTTCATAACTGGGATGATAACCACTCTATTCCTCCTCCCTCCCCTTTTCTTTAAGAACCATAAGGGGTCAGGAGATTGCAACTACCACCAGCAAGGCCCCATCTATACTGCCATATAATGCAGTTTGGAGCTGCATTCTATGGTCAGTGTAAACTCATAAAATGCCATTCAACACAAACCAAATCATGAGTTTACGCTCCAGCTACAGCACTCAAGGACCGTGGCTTCTCAGTTCTCTGTGTCTATGCCAGTTTTAGTTTGGCTTTAAGCCCATCTTTAAATCTCGTTTCCTATCCACCAACATTTAGTTTTCCATTCTTGAGTTGAGAGTAGAGTAACTCCTTTGAGAAATGGTGATCAGGCATTTGGACAGCGTGAGCAGTCCAGCAGAGTTGATGGTGGAGGATCATCACTTCATAGAATCACAGAATCAAGAAGCCGTGCTGGTGCTCTTTGTTTCTTCCAGAATGCTGACAATTGTCCAGCTATCTCTTTCAAGAGATTTGCAGGATTTTTTTGGAGGCAACGCTGATGGAATCATTCCAGAAGTTGAATGTGACATCTGTAGACGGTCCAAGTTTCGCAGGCTCAGATGGTGTCATATTCCTGGCTCGATGCAGACTTTTGTATAGAACTGGGTTTCTTTTTCTTGGAAGACACATGTGGATTTTGATGTAATAAAATAACATATAATAAAAAACAACACATACAACAAAATAATTAAACTATCATTACAACATAGAAAAACAAATTTATTTATTTAGGGTATTTCTATCCTGTATTTCTCCGCAATGCATAACCAAGGCGGCTTGTAAACAGAATACAAACACTAAAATTATTCAATCAGAAGAACAAAATAGATAAAACCATGATAAAACAATCAATAAAATCCTACATTTCTGTTAAAACCAAGTAACACAAGAGTGCAAAACACAAAACTTTAAGCTTTTCAGCCAATTGTTATCATTGCTCACTTGTCTTGCTTCCTCTAACTCTACAGTAAAACTGTCTAATTTCTGCTTTAGAATTTCTAGATGAGATGTTCATTAGCCAGAAGAAATAGCCCAAAAGGTGCGCAAAACACACAAGTAATAATTGAAGTAAACAAGCACATAATGTTTGTAGGATTGAGCTCTAAAGGTTGTCTACATTAAGACTGTAATATGTCCAGAGCTGTGACATAACCCCCACCAAATAAATCAAACTTGTGCAAAAACATATATTCAGAACTCCCTCCAAATGTAGGCTTTTTGAGAATGCGTGAGTTTTTGGATAAGTGCTCTTAAAATACCAAAGAAGAAAGAGTAATAGGAACGACAGTACAAAAAAGGAACCAGGAATGAAAAGTACAATTAGGAACGAAGAAGAAATGGACCCTTGGTTTCCAAATGAAAACATGGAGTGTCTTTATTAATGTACAAAGCCAAAAAGCAGGTCACAAGGAATTCTTGAAGACCAGTTCAATAATGAAACGCTTTAACCCTTTGTCAAAAACTTTAAGAACTCGGGACTTGAAAACATTTTTCTCTTCAATGAATTTTGTAAAAAGGAGAGTCCCACCTCCGCACCCAAAGTAGTGTGCTTTGCCGGCCAAATAAACACAGCCGTTGATGCCCAATAAATCTGCAAGTGTGTCATGCAAAGCCTCATAGTAATCGGGGTTGTAAACAGTCTCTGAGGTCAGGATCAGATCATATTTTGAGAAAGGCTTCTTGCTATTTAAAAGAAGCTTGCTGAACGCTGACCATTCCCCAGAAAATAATCTGCACTTTGAGAGTAAGTCTAAGTCAAAGTCTTTTTCCCCAGAGTGTTTCACAGGAAGTTCACCATTTCCTTCAGGAGCATCACTCTCATGAGCACAGTTAACCAAAATATTAGGCAGAGTTATTTCTTCAATCACTGAGCTGTTGTAGTCCTGAAAGTGGACTTCTCCGGCATTTCTTTTTAATGCAGCGATGCCCAAAAGACCAGCCCCACAGCCAAGATCCAGAACAGATTTGTTCCCAAACTGAATTTCAGCTTCAGACAAATAATTCAGGAGATCAAAGGTGCACTCCCAGATCTTCAGGCCTCCCTCATAGACACCTGGGATGAGGTCAGAATGGGAAGAAATGGGATCTGGGACTGCTGTTTCCACCACTAAAATCTGCACTGTTGGCAAGCTCTCCACAATTTTATCTTCTAACACTTGGTTGACATCTGAAGGAATAGCGTGCTCCTTGGCAGACGCAGGGTCGGCAGGCGTCTTCGGCAAAGCCTCCTCCTTGTTTTCACTCAGAGCGGGGCAGTCTGCTGCGTTTTCAGTCTTTTCAGATAACAGGTTTTCCTCTGAAGAAGCCTCGTTGCTTATGGAGAAGTTGAACTGGAATTCCATTTTATTCAGAAGCAGACCTGGAAAATCAACACATGACCAAAGTATCAGCATAAAGACAGGATGCTGAAGGAAGGACTAAACGTGTTGAGGAAAGCTTTCATGGACGGAATCACTCGGTTGTTATGAGTTTTCCAGGCTGTATGGCGATGTACCGGAAGCATTCTCTCCTGACGTTTCACCCACATCTATGACAGCCATCCTCAAGAGTTGTGAGGTCTGTTGGAAACTAGGCAAGTGAGGTTTATATATTATCTGTGGAATGCCCAGGGTGGGAAAAAGAACTCTTGTCTCTTTTGTGGCAGGCATTCTCATATGGCTCCTTTATTTACCCACATCTATGGCAGGCATCCTTTATTTACCAACCTGGACACAGCATATTATTTGAGAACACAGAAATGCTGGAGGCATTCTAAACAACCACCATGTCAGACTACACAGAGAATCCATTGAAATCCACAAGCATGTGGACAATTTCAACAGAAAGGCGGAAACCATGAAAATGAACAAAATCTGGCTACCAGTATTTGAAAAACTCTAAAATCAGGACAGTAAATAAAGAGCAACACTCTGAAAACAAGCGTATCCTAGACAGGAAACAATCAGGGCCAGCTAACACCTCCCAACAAAGGATTAAACCAGGCAGGAAGCAGCCAGGCTTTGAAGCTGCAAGACCATTCAATGCTAATCAAGGTGGCCAATTGAAACATTCACACTTGCCTTGAGCAGACGAGTTCTTTCTCCCATCCTGGACATCATTCCACAGATATATAAACCCCACTTGTCCAGTTTCCAACTGAGGATGCCTGCCATGGATGTGGGCGAAACGTCAGGAGAGAGTGCTTCTGGAACATGGCCAGACAGCCTGGAAAACTCAGAGCAACCCAGTGATTCCAGCCACGAAAGCCTTCTAAGATACATTAAAATACATTTTTTTCCAAATCAAAAAACTTCCGGAAATAAAGAGTATTTAATATTTAACTTGTAATAAAAGTCTCAACCCACTTTTTTGACAAGATACCTCATTCCTGAAGTACAACCAGAATCCGATGTGTTCCTCTCCTTCCCCGCAGTTCCACTTCCTTATCTCCACCCCTTCTCGCTCCCGGAGAAATCTCCACCAAATGAGGCCGCTCCCGCAAGACAAAAACACACAAAACGCCAAGCGGGTTTGGAGGGCCCCTTCCTCGCACTGCTTTTCCGGTCACGCCGATACGGACGCCGCCGCAGTGCCTGACGGGATGCTGCGCGCGGAGGGCGCGAGGGCGTGGCCTCCTCGCGCTGCTCCTCCTCGTGACCCTTGTGGCGGCAGATTCGGAAGGCGGCTCGGTCGCGGCGGAGGAGGAGGATGTCTCAGTCCGAGGAGGCGCTGTCGCTGCTGGCCGAGGTACAGGCCTGGCGCCCCGAGGAATGCCTCCGCCACCTCCCCGCCGCCCTGCCGCGCCTCCTCATATCCTTCGCGGGCCGGGCGAATGAGGGGAAGAAGGCCCTCGCGTGGGGAATGAAGGTGGACAGGGGAAGGAAAAGGAGACAGGGGATTGGCAGAGGCCCAGTGTCAGGTGACCGTGAAAGGGCGGGAAGGGAGTGGATTGGCTCCTGCAAGGGGACATGTCTCTAAGGCAGGCATGGGCAAACTTCAGCCCTCCAGGTGTTTTGGACTCTTAACTTCCACAATTCCAGAACACCTGGAGGGTCGAAATTTGTCTAAGGTAACTTTTTAAAGAGAGGGCCAGGTCACAGTCCCTCAAACTGTTGGAGGCCGGAGTATAATTTGAAAAAACATGAATGAATTCCTGTGCACAGTGCACATATCTTATTTGTAGTGCAAAAAACACTTTAAAACAATACAATAATTAAAATGAAGAACAATTTTAACAAATATAAACTTATTCGTATTTCAATGGGAAGTGTGGGCCTGCTTTTGGCTGATGAGATAGGATTGTTGTTGTGTGTGAGCTTATTAGGTGAAAGAGATGTTGGAAATGCTGAAAATGCAAGCCTAAGAAAGGCTTTGGCCTACAAAACAGCGAAGGCTGAAAGGAAGATAGGAGATTTGAAAGACAGGATGGCAGAGTCGCCAAGGACATGGGGCAGGATGACATCCAAGAAGGAGTCTGAAGTCATAACATGTATGTTTGCCCTTAGTGTGTAGAAGGTTATCAGCTTTGTAAGCATCGAAGTGACAAGAAGGTGAAAGAACATGTTTTTGAAAGACTATTCAGAATGGGATGGATCTGTTTCATGACACAGCATGAAAAGTGTATAAGAAGGAACTGAGAAATCAAATGGGACAGTCAGCTTGGTTTTTGAAAGACACTAGATTGTCTTTCTGTCTGGCTGACCTGTCCAAGTGTGACCACACTTGAAATAAAAGGATTTTTGCTTCAAACCTCACAGAGACTGATTGTCTTTTTAGAATCACTAATTTGCCAATTAGAAATAGTTCCCTTCATGTGCTTTCAGGTAATTTCAGACTTAGGTTGACCCTGAGTGAGGGCCGGGTAAATGACCTTGGAGGGCTGAATTCGGCTCTCGGCCTTAGTTTGAGGACCCCTGGTCTAAGGGAAAGGAAGGAAGAGAAAGGAAAGTGAGAAAGTATGAGGAAAGTGAGGGAGAATGAAAAAGAAGGGAAAGAAAGAGCCACAAAGAAAATCAATACTTGGGCAACATCAGGTATCTCAGGCATGGACAAGCTTTGGCCTGCCAGGTGTTTTGGACTTCAGCCCTAACACCTGGCGGGCCAAAGCTTGCCCGTGCCATCCATCCATATGTGTGTGTGTGTGTGTGTGTGTGTGTGTGTATACATACATACAGTACATCCTTGGTATCCTTTTTGAAAGAGGACAGTGGGCGAGAAACATGTTTATTTAAACCCCACTTTTGTTTTCTCCAAAAAGGAAACTCAACAATATATATATAGATACTGTTCCATTATCTGGATGGAGAGCACCAGGGGGTGCTAGAGAGAGAAGGATAGTCCATTTTACAGGTGGAGGGTGGGTTGAAGGAGTAAAACTTATTTCCCTGTGTTCCAGTTATTCCCTCCACAAACGTACCCTTCTTTATAATGCAAGAAGCAGGGAGGGGGAATAACCAGCAAAAATGGTGGAAATGGTTTTCCTCTTCCATCCTCACCCTATAAAATGGACTATCCTTCTCTCTCTAGTGCCACCATTGAAGAAACCCTTTATTCTGGACACTAATCAATTAGGCATCACCATATATCTCATTTGAGTTGGTGTGGAGGGCTAAAAAGGCTCTAAAAGCCAGTCTTATTACTGGAATTGCACTACATTCAAGGAAATGTGAGCACTTGGTAAATATCAAAATATAGTTGCCAGCAATGCCTTCTAGAATGCAAAAATACATCCTGGCAGTTGAGTAGAAATCACTCAGAAATCTCACGAGGACAATAATCTTTTGCATGAGTATTGGTGTAAAAGTCATGCTGGTTAAAGCACAGTGCTGCACAGTTTGAATACATTAATTCAAATAAATTTAGTAAATTATCTGTAAAATTTACAGCAGAACTGGATTACTTTGAAACATTTTGTGCCAATCCCTATTGACAGCTGTAAGTATGTATTTTTTGTTTTCCTTAGTATTTATACTCTCTTTATCAGGTGGTTGACAACTGGAGCCAGCGTATTGGTAAGTAATGGAAATGTCAACTTTAGTGTTTGGGAGCAGAAATGTTCCATGTTTAGGATTTTTTTCAGATTTTGGAATATGGTATTTACACATATGTATAATAAGATACTTTGGAAATTTGATTACATTTCAGATACAAGGTATATAAATAGTCTGAAGGTAAATTTATATACAATATTTTAATAATTTTGTACAGTGAACCATCAGAAAGCCAAGTATCACTATAGCAACTACCAATATGGACGGTTTTGGAGTATTTTAGACTTTGGAATCCGAGAAAAGCAATATCCAAGCTTTATATTTCTCAAATAGACCATTGAGCACATGTTCGTTAGATGAAAATACCAAAATAATATTAACATATGTATTTGATCATTTATTTATGGTAATTTTGATTGTTATACTGATGTTTAATTGTTTATGTTACAATTGTTTTTAACTGCTATATACTTGTCTTGTGATGTTTTGTATTGATGTTGTTAATCGCTTTGAGTCGCCTAAGGGCTGAGAAAAGAGGTATATAAATAAAGTAAATAAATAAATATTTTCAGTAAGTTGTATTTGCATAGAAGCCTTGGATTTATTAAAAATAATGGTTTTCCTAAACTCACTCATACACAGGTGTTTTAAGGATTTTGATGGAGAAATTTCTACCACAAATTCGTCTTTCTGAATTGGAACAAACATTTTCCTCTAAAATATTGCCAAAGGTATGACACTGTCTTTTATGAACATTTGGGCAAATCTTCACTTTGGAAGGTGGATTTGCATGATTCAGGTTTTTTTCCAGAAGGTTGTGATTTTCTTTTTAATATAAGATCAATTTTGATGTTTTATATGTTTGATGTTTTATATGTTTTTTTATTGATGGCATTGAATTGTTGCCAGCACCGTGAACCGCCTTGTGTCCCCTTTGGGGTTGAGAAGGGCAGAATACAAATACCATAAATAAATAAATATACAATTTTATTTTTATATTCATTAATTTTATATTTTATGCTATTTATGTTAGGCAGCACTTGCCTAGACTCACAGAAAGTAACCAACCTTAGAAAGGACTACTTAGTGTACTTCCTTACTTAGTGTACTTATAACACCAAGAAAACTGGAGAGAAAATTTCTTGGGATGTATTGGAAAATAAGACAGTGATTTTGTAGCAGCTTTTGTAACATTACTTGTTTTCTTTTTGTAAAGCTGCAACCTGCATTTTATTAACAACTTAGCTACCTGTAAAAACAATTTGGAGTTTTGTATATCCCGGCATTTTTTTTACCTATAAAGGTTATGTGTTTGCTCAAAAAGAAACATGACATTCTTAGATCTAGAAATGGTTTAATTTTCGGGATTAAACAAAACATCCAGATTAGAACAGATACACTCAAATCTTCCAATTTTTGTGGTGACTATTTGTAGTCATTTTTCAGGGAATGGCTAAGTTATATCCTTGTAGTGAATCTATTTTTTTCTAAAACAAACTATCTGATCACATTGTAGACCACTCAGTGTGTTAGGTAATATTGGAAGTTCTCAAGGAGAACATCTGTAGCATCAAGTAAACAATTATGTCTTAATGTGGAGGGTTTGTGTGGATTGATCCTTGACTCATTGGGAACCTAGAATCTCAAAAGTTATCTGTGTTTAACTGTATGTATGTGAGAAAGGGGGGAGGGGAGATCTCCCTCCCCCTTTTTTTCTTCTGCTGCATGTGCAGGCTGGCAAATGTAACAGCACAGATTACAAATCAATACTGATGTTACAACATTGTCTCCATTTTTATCCCAAATTCATCTTATATTAAGTGCTAGCAGTCACTTCAGAGATAATGCCCTGAGGTCTGGTTGCATTTAATCTATAAAAGACTCATACTTTCTTGTGTTGATTTAATTGTAATTTTCTATGTTCTAACAGACAGTAGAATTCTTTGATGGCTTGTTATATGAGCTATCCAGCCATGCCGAACAGTTAACAAGCCAGAATGAAGAATTACATGTGACAACGAGAAACCATATGCAGGTAAATCCAGTGAAATTAGTTCTGCTGAATGAATTGTATTTTTTTCTCTCTTGACAAAAGAATGTTTTGGCAATATTTATATTAATGTAGATCTATAAAATTTAAATCCATTGGATATTTTGCAATTATTTACTGGTTTGGTTATATTGTATAATGTGGGCCTATTTCTAGGTAAAGGGGTCCTGTTTAAATGCTGAACAGCTCTCACCGTCAGGAAGTGAGCATTACCTGAACATTAGGAAAATCTTCTTGACTGTGAGCTGTTCAGCAGTTGAACACTCTGCTCCGGAGTGTGGTGGAGGCTTTTAAGCAGAGGCTGGATGGCCATCTGTCGAGGGTGCTTTGAATATGATTTTCCTGCTTCTTGGCAGGGGGTTGGACTGGATGGCCAAGAGGTCTCTTCCAACTCTATAATTCTATGATTCTAAATGATTAGTACATAAATGATTTGCAGGAAAGCAAATGGAAATTTGTCTCCTATGATGTTTGGTTTAGGTCTCTACTGAATTAAACCTGGCCTACACTTTTGTCTTAAGACAATTCTTGTCCGTTCTGACAGCACAGGGGATAAGCATTACACACTGTGTGTTCTCAAGCAATAATTAGTTATTAAGCTTGGATCAGAAGAAAAAGAAGGATAGACAGTGACATGGAATTGACACTTGTTTTACAGTGCTGCTGAACTAATTCACTGGGCTGTTGACAGCTACATGTTTTAGGTAGCATACATGATCATTTGCTTGAGTAATTTATCTGCAGACTACTAATCATTTGCTGAGTTAAGGATGGTCAATTATTCATGCCTTTAACAACAGTTTGGAACAACAGTAATTGCAGTTGCTTACAAGAAGCCAGTTTGGCCTCTTTAATACTCACATTTCTTTGATTCTATCATGCCATCAATTGTAAGGTGCACAATAATTTCAGCACCACCGACAATTTTTATGGATATATATTAAAAAGCAGTTGCGATTCTAAGACTACTGTCTTAGAATCTTCTACTGAAGAAATATAATATACAGCGGATGGCAGATTGTAGCCTTTGTAAGAAGGCTTTGCATTCAAGTTCATGTTCCAGGGAATGAAAGAACAGTGAAAATAGATCTGCATTTTATTTCTGTTTTTTCCCCTTGACATGAGACAGTAACTTAACAAATAGAGATATTTTCAGATTCGTCTTTGAGTTTTGTTTTTGTGTACCTCCACTGATGCTTTTATTAATAACATGCTTTCCTATGCAGAATCTGGTACTTGTGCTGGAAGCATTAACAGGCTGTGTGCGACACATCTGTACTTTGCAGGAAACTTTGCCATTAGATTATGTCCACAGCCTTCCCCTCTCTGTTCTTCATATAATCAAGAAGACATACATACACTGCAAGGTTGGTGAGTTTTGTTGCTGAGCAGAGGTACAGTATTCATGGTATAACAGAAAGGAAACTGTTGTAGGCTTTTTAAAAAGGTTGGGGGACACAATAAAACATTGGACCTTAGTTTCCAAAAACCAGTATTGTGAATTGGATTGGAATTTGTACTATCATCTATTCTTCATGGTGTCTACAACTGATAATATATATGACTAATTCTGCACTTGCTACATGTTTGTAAACTTCTAGAGCTAGTTAGGGATTTTGACAGGGCATCTGCTCTCTCTCCTCTGCATCAGTTGATAATATTTTCCCCACCCAAACTACTCAGTTCCTTTTCATCTGCTTTACTAGTAATGTTGCAGGGAACAATCTCCGTATTGTTTAGACCTGGTTTGCCTTAGGTCCTGTTCTTTCTGTTGCTTTTGATGAATTTTGCTTTGTTGTTTTTAAAGATTTTTCTGTATTTATTAATTTTTTGTAAAGCATTTTTGAGTGCTGTTGAGTGGTTTTGTTCACCTTTTCCCTTCTCCAATGTGCACATTTATGTGCTCCATGGGTCTTTTAAAAAAGCGCCTTGAGTATGTCCTTAAGGACCTTAATCTGATGGCTTTTTTGTTGGTTTCATGTGGTTTCGTTGATAGCTATGTATGTTAACTTCCAGGCACATGCACCTCAGACCAATCAAAGCTGCATCTCTTGACTAAAAACACTGTTGTGGAAAGCTGCCATAAAACCTCAAACCAACTTAATTTGGTTCCTTCTTCATGGTTTCTGTCGTACACACAGATGAATCTGACCTGTGGCTGACCAGAGAGCACAGCTGTTTGGACAATTAACTCCTCTCCCCTCCAACTGAACATGCATTGGCATTCCCACTCTGTATCTCCGTTCCTTTTTGTCCACCACAACATCAGCAGTGTGACATAACTTCCCCATATGTTAGTAAATTTTACAGTTTTACTCTCTTAATTGTTACTCTCCTTTTTTATTTTCATTCTTATTAGACAATTGCTTGGTGAAATATTCACAGTTTTTTAGGAATGTAAACAGTGTAGTAGGAGAAGCTCACAGAGAAACAGGCACTCTCATTGGCTTATATGTTTGGGAGAATCACACATTGTTGAAATGTATAAAATCTAAAGGGGTTTTTTTCTCAGTAAGTCTGAAAAGCCACATCTATTCACTTAGAGCAATGGTTCTCCCAGCCAGTTTTCCAGCTATTAGGAATTCTGGGAGTTGAAGGCCAAAAACATCTGGGGAGCCCATGTTGAGAACCACTGACTTAGAGTCTCTGAAATGAAAATGATGATACAGGTGGGGCCTCAGAATCTAGAACATTATGTTGGTTCCCAAGATATCTTTTATTTCTCTGCCAGTTTTATTCAATGTTCTTCATCTTTTTGACAGCCTTTGATTATGTCCTGCCCTGCTTTGTTTTAGTTTTGTTGCATGTGTGATGGATTTGGAATTGAGGACATTGAATGGAAATGGACACAATAGGGAGATGGTGTGGTCCCATCTAAAAGTATTAGAAGTTTTCAAACATGTGGCTACACAACTGCAGAATTACACGTAAGTGTAACTTCACACTCAACCATTTAAAGAACAGAGCGAGTTGCTTGTTTGTATCAAAACTGAAGTGCTTCTTCAGCTTTGGATTTGATTCAGAGAAGTGTAAATGGATCATGAAATTCCAATAGAATGTAAATTTAATAGTGATAAAATCTTACCGGTATTAAGATGCTTACAGTAAGATTTGCATGGGCAAGCCTCAATATTGGTTTGTTTGTACTAAAATCAGAATTTGAAAATTATTCTGGTTTAAGTCTCATAAGTTCATAATGTGTAGCAAAAGTACACAACAATATTAATGGAGATTACGAATTAATGGTAACGAATTTATTTATTTATTTGCTTTATTTCTATACCGCATATTTCAGCCCAGACAGGCGACTCTATGCGGTTTACATGATACAAATTATTAACAGTGTCAGTGCAATTAAAACGCAACACGTGCGACAAACAGGATCAACAACATCAATCCACAACAGTTAACAAAACAGAACAGGACAGTCAACACATACAACATAACGCCTCAGTGAAATCAGATCCGTTCTCATAATCCTTGTGCCATTCCTATGTTCCATTTACCGTCTTCCTTGATTGATTGCACTGTTCAACCAAACGCCTGTTCATAAAGCCAGGTCTTAACCTTTTTCCGAAACGCCAGCAACGAAGGTGCCTGTCTGATGTCTGCCGGCAAGGCATTCCATAGCCGAGGGGCCACCACTGAGAAGGCCCTGTCTCTCGTCCCCGCCAAGCGCGCCTGTGACGCAGGCGGGACCGAGAGCAGGGCCTCCCCAGACGATCTTAATGTCCTAGTCGGTTCATAGGTGGAGATGCGTTCGGAGAGGTAAGAGGGGCCAGAACCGTTTAGGGCTTTATAGGCTAAAGCCAGCACCTTGAATTGTGCCCGGTAGCGAATTGGCAGCCAGTGGAGCTGGCTCAACAGAGGAGTGGTATGCTCCCTGAGTGCCGCTCCTGTTAGCAACCTGGCTGCCGAGCGCTGGACCATCTGAAGCTTCCGGGCAGTCTTCAAGGGCAACCCCACGTAGAGCGCGTTGCAGTAATCAATCCGGGATGTAACCAGAGCGTGGACTACCGTGGCCAAGTCAGACTTCCCAAGAAGTCTGACTTGAAATTTATCTCCTGTTGATCTGTCTAACATGTTTGTTTTTGTTTTATCTCTGGTTTTCTATTTTGCTACAGAACAGCGAGTCATTGTACAGTGACTGTTTCTGCTTGTTTTCCGATTTGCTCCAGTCTCTTTTTAAAGAGGCCTATGCTTTGCAAAAGCAGATCATGGAACTGATTGAGATTGTATCTGTGAACTCCTGTGCTGCTGATGAGAGTGTAGCAATTATGGTATCAGGTGTGTATGCAAAATCTTTTTTGCAGAGGGAGTGTGCCACATCGGGAACTCCCACCATACATCAGTTTTCAAGCAGTGAGAAAGAGTGCATCCTCAGATTACACTGATATATAAGAATGACTCAGACCTTTCTCCACGGCCCCCCAATGGGCACAACCCCAGTTAAGTTCAGTTTGTGTTCCAATCTGTTGTATTGTAAGTTGTTCTTCCTTTTTGTTTTGCTCTTCCCTATTTTTTAAAACCCCTTCCCTGGCCTTTTATTTTCTTTGTTTCTCCTACTCTTCTTGTTAAGGTGAGTTCCAAATTTTGATTGCAATATGAATGGAATCTCTGCAGCAGGATTGGCTCAGTCATCCCATGTGGATGAGGCTCCTCTGCCTAGTATTTTGCGCTCTGGTGAAGTCAAGCTAAAGACTGGTTTAGAGGCAAGTCTCAAGAGGAGCAACTAGGTGGAGAAAAATCCCTTCATGCTATCAGACTACAGCTTCTCGGTCGCAAATGTCAGGCCAAGATACCCAAAATGTCATAAACTACTTCCTTCTCCCATGGATACTCTTCCAAGAAATCCTGGGTTAATGCAGACACAGAAACACTATCTGAGTTTCTTTTCTTACTGTTATTCATTTCATGCTGAAAATCATTTGTTGTACTAAAGAGGTGTGTTCAAAATGAGCTTCAGTGGGTGTCAGAAATGTATGGCTGCTCCACTGAATTTTCTCTGATTTCCTAGTACAGATTTCTACCCTATTCAAAAGCTGTCCACAGGGACTTTATTAAATGACTTTAATTATAATTTTTTATTATTTTTTCTCTTGCAGTGATTCACATTCTGTTGGAGGTCTGTTCTGCCGTTTCCAGCATAGATCGTGCTCTTCATGCAAATACATGGAAGTTCATTATCAGGTAGCTTGCACTTCTACTAATTATGCTGACATATATAAAGTTATATATATTATATGGCTGTCTCTTTTAATTCAGTTGCGGCCTTTTAATCTGACACAGCATTGCGCTGTTGACCAGAAGACTAAACTGCCTGAAATCCAAGTATTTCAATTAAACTGGATTATTGGTTAGAGGACTAATTTAAATCATATTGTTTGAAGGACCCTGAGAGTCATCTCATCCAACTACTGCCGTGCACAAATACGCAAGTAATGTGTTCCTTAAAGATGACTATCAAAACTCTGTTTTAAGACCTTTCAGAATTGTCAAATATGTGTTCTTACAGGCAAAGTCTCAAGCACAAGTCACTGATAAAGAACGGCTTGAAACATTCTGATATCTTACGCAGCCTTTGTGAAGACATCCTGTTTTCTTTCCAGTCTTGTTTGCAGTTGGCTGAGCAGATGAAGTGTTCTGGAACCCAGGTAAATGGATTACTATCTTAAGTCAAACTTGACTTCCAAAAGTATTATAATTAAAATTAGAAGGGGAAGGTGTTTGAAGCATTAACATATTTACATGTTAGATAGAGCCCAAGCTTCAGTCATGTGGCTAAGGTTTTTAGGCCTCACATAAACTATCTTAAGTGACTGGCTTGACTTTGGAGGAACTGGGGGTGGCCACTGCCAACACGGAGCTCTGGCGTGGCTGGTCCATGAGGTCACAAAGAGTCAGAAGCGACTGAACGAAAAAACAAACTATCTCTTGAGCTCGCTTTGTCTTTAGAAGCAGAAAGGGGCCATTTGTGGCTCACTAGTATGCATGGCTAGGAGTAACTTATTACCTACACATCTCTCAGTTATACACTCAGATTTTGAGATGAGAGCTCCGTGTCTATTGAACATCTCCACACCTTGGCTTATTTCAAACCTGCAGTCCTATAGAAGTGATGTTTTATTCCACAAAATGTGATATTGCTTTTACAACCAGTAGAGGTTGCTACAGAGGACTGGTATGTGGGGCACACTTTCAGCCAACCACTTAAGCCAAATGATCACCAATGACAATCAGGGAATTTTGGGGAAATAGCAACATAAGGAAAGTTATCAGTGAAATTAAAGATGCCTGATTGCTTTCTGTGAGCTGCGTTCTCATTCATATGTTTCTTATTCCCCAAGTGCATTGTTACACTATCCTAGGCCTCTCTATGGAGCAAATTACCTTATGAATTTGACTATTGCCAAATACTGTTTGCTTGTTTTCCAAGGCAAGATGTAATGTGTTTCCCTCCGAAATGCTTCAAGGCAGATTTGCGGATGTTCTATATAATGCAGGACTTTGCCTATGCAATAACCAGGAAGTTGAATGTATGAAACATATCTTATTGTCCTACAGTTTTTATAAGCAGACCCAACAACATATTAATCCATTACTGAGCAACTTATCTGGTAGACCAGTTCAATTCTATGTAAACTTTTCATTAGGAGATGATCTCCTCCACGTGACTTCGTTCCTTGCTAAATTGTGAGGTAGCCAGGATAAGAAACTTCCTGTATTAGTCTTAGGCTGAAATTTGCCTTTGTATTTATTTGCAGGCTCTTGTTTATATGCAAGACATCCTGCATTTTAATCATTTTATTAATCTGTATATACTTTGTGAATCTTTCACTGTTGAGCTATTTGGGTATTTGGATTGTAATAAAGCTTTTTCTTTTTTTTTACACTGAAAGATGCTTGAGAAGGCCAGCACCTTAATGACATTAACAACATAGCAAAATAATAAAGTCTAGTTGTCTGTTTCACATTTTCATAAATTTATGCAATTAAATGAGTATATTTACAACTATATTGTTTCCAATAATAATAATAATCAGTACATAGGCCAGGGAACAAAAGACACAGAAATGCCACCTTAGCTGGCATGTGGCTTGGCTTTTCTTTAAGGAGTCAGGTTGGGAAGTAATTTAAAAAGTACTATAGAAGTTTTTCCAAGGAAATATTCAAAGTGTGCTTTTTGTTTACATTTGTATAGGAAAGCACTGATTACAAATTGTTCCAGAGGATGAACAAACTGTGTAGATTTTTTGCCAATTCTCTGCTGCACTACACCAAGGTAAGAGCTAGCAACTGGCTTCTGCCAGAAGGGGATAAAAGTTTACTTTGACTTACATATTTGCAATCATTGTGTTGTAAGTATTTGGCATCACTTGAAACATTCAAAAAAACAAAACAAATGATGGTATAGAATCATAGAGTTGGAAAGGGCTTTGCTTAATGCAGGGTCTCCTCTTGACTTGTGGCCCTCGGGGTGTTTGGGTCTCCAACTCCCAGAAGCCCTAGACAGCTTGTTCAATGATCAAGAATTCTGGGAGCTGAAGCCCAAAATACCTAAAGGGCTGCTGGTTAAAGAGGCCTGAGCTACAGCAGGTAGCTGCCCAACTTCTTTTTAAAGATATTCAGAGGACATCCCAAAATCTCTCTAGGCCTGTCCTGCAGTACCTGTGGGCCTCCAGGTGTTTGGACTTCAGTTCCCACAATTCCTAACAGCTTGTAAACTGACTGGGATTTATGGGAATTGACATTCACCTGGAGGACCAAAGATTGAAAACCACTGCTCTAGGCAATTGGCTTTATTCTTCGTGTCGTCCGTGAAATGCGCACCTATGGGTTCTTCCTTGCGCATGCGCAGAAACTCGGAACATTCTAAGTTAAAATGAATTAAAAATGATTATTGTGAGCCATATAGGCTCCGCCCATCTCCCCGCCCCCCGGATATATGCGCCGAGCGCCGCCGCCATTATTTAGTTCCTTTTTCCGCGCTAAACTAGCAGCATCTCGGAACAGCTTTTCCTCGATTTCTTGATTACGGACTGACTTGGACTGATCTTTGGACTGATTTTTTGGACTGATTGCCTGCCTCTCTCCAACCCCTGACTCGGACCGACTGACTACTCTCCTCTTCACCCTCAGGCTAGGATGTCTTCCCTCTATTTCAAAAATTGCTCAGCTTGCGGGGCCACCCTCCCCGAAGCTGATAGGCATTCWAAATGCCTCCTTTGCTTGGGGGAYTCCCACAATCTCCAATCRTGCYAMATTTGRCTTAARTTRACTACAAGSGCTCGRAAAACAAGYGATGCCCGTTTAAAAGCTRTKCTTTARGAGCGCGCTCTGGCTCCACAATCCCTCCCTACCCCCTCCCTATCCCCAATAATYGAGCCCTCTCAGCCTCCCTCCCCACGCGTTGGGGAAAGGRGTGAATTGGATCAGGCAAACGCTTCCCCTGTGGAGCCGCCTGCAAAAAAGCAAAAATCTTCCAAACAGGCCACGAGGCCTGGGAAAGCGAAAGAGAAATTAAATAAACAAAAAAAGGGACGGCAACTCACTGACGCACAGTCCTTGAGCCCTCCCAGACTGGAACCGATGCTCCATTTCTCCGGTTCCGTGATGCACCTCCAGGAGCCGCTCCCCACCATGCTCCAACTGGATGACCCCTCCCACCTCCCTCCACTCGAACCTGGCCCCTCTGCTGGAGTTGGAAGCTCAGACCTCCGCAGGCCGGTCGACCTCTCCCCCGCCGCTTCCCCTCTCCCAAGCCTCCCCCCTCCCATCCCCTAATCTTCCACAAACCTCAGGCCCGGGAGAAACTCCTTCCCCCGTTCCGCCTGCGCCGATTGCGCAATCCTCACGCCGCCGCCGCCGATCCCCTTCTCCTGAAGCGGAACCGGCAGCGCCCTCCTCTCCTCCTCCCAAAAGGCCCCGTCCTCGCTCCTCCGAGCATCCTCAGCCATATGGATACCCAGAGTACCCTTACCACCTTTACCCCCCTCCTCCTCCCTTCCCTCCATACCCTTTCTACTATCCTCCCCACCCTGATCACTATAGAGGTTTTGATGCCTCTCATCCGGAGCACCCTAGATACCCTCAGCCCCCCCGTGCGCCTCCCACGGCCACACTCTCTCACCCTCAGGAAGACCAAACTGAGGCCCAAACTCACCCAACCGAACAAGATCCCAACAACCCACCCTTGCCAGATTCAGAAACCATCGACCTTGAATCCAATGATGATACACCTGCCGTCCTAGATACCCAACCAGATGCTGACCCTTCCCCCAAAAATTTGGAGGAATTCAAAAAATTCTCAGCTCTTTTAATAAGACTGACTAGAGCAGCGTTTCTCAACCTGGGGGTCGCGACCCCTAGAGGGGTCGCGGGGCAATTTTGGAGGGGTCGCCATGTGGCCTCCTTAGGCCCCGCCCCCTCCACCTCCCTGGAATGGCTGCCGGGGCCCCTCTGCCAGTTTGGATCTGAACCAAACTACCAAACTGAGCACAAAAAGCAGCACGGAGGTGGGGGGGGAGGGAGTGAAGAGGTCTACCGCTGCGCTCCCCCTGCCTTCCCTGCAGGCAGAGCACCAGAAAGGGGGGAGTGAAGGGCCCGCTGCTCCTCCCCTCAGGCCGCGGGGACTGGAGCCACGTGCAGCAATGGAGGGTCTCTCCAGGAGGAGGAGGAGGAGGAGGCGGGAAAAAATGAAAGTGTTGACGCACCGTGCCCCTTTTCTTTCTAGTCCTTTTTACTGCACCTTTTCCCCTGAAACCCTCTGAGGCAGAGGCCTGGCTGGATTGCTGTGAGTTTTTCAGCTGTATGGGCAGGTTTCAGTAGCATTCTCTCCTGGGGGTTTTTTGTGTAAGAAGGAAAGAGATGCAGTCAGTGGCCACTCGGTTGAGTCTCAGTCTGTTTCCCATATGGATCTGTTTTGGGGTTTTTGGGGGGGGGGGTGTGCAGGGTTTGGGCTAAGTTTTCTTTGGAAGATTGTCCTCACTTCCTTACCAATATCACCCCCTCCCCGAAGACAAATGCTCTTTTTTGTTTTTCCCCAGGGCGCAGGATTTACTTCCTCCCTCCCTCCCTGCCTGCATTCCTTATTTCCCTTCCCTCATTCAATTCCTTCCCTTCCTTCTTCCCCTCCCCTTTCTCCTTCCTTCCTTTTTCTTCCCTGCTTCCTTTCTTCCATCTTTCCTCCGTTCCCTCTCCTCCCCTCCCCAATCCAAACTGCCGAAACACATCCCATTTCCCAGGTTTACAGCCCCGGTGTTTGCAGCCAGCCATCCGTCCGTGCATTGGGGGAAGGGAGAAAAGGAAGGGAAGAAGGGACGCTGCTGCTGGCTCTGGATGACCCTCAGTGCTGCTGGGGAGCTGGGGACAGTGACATTAGGGGAGTCGAGCAGCACCCGGCATGCACGGAGGATGCACTGGCTGCAGGGGACCCCAGCTGCTTCGCTGCCTCCTCTTCCTCCTCCTCCTCCGTCTTGTGTTTTTGTTTTTGGGAGGAAGAAATGAGGGAGGGAGGGAGGGAAGAGGAGGGGGTGCCTCTCCGGGTGACCTTAGCTCAGGCATGGGCAAACTTGGGCCCTCCAGTTATTTTGAACTTCAACTCCCACAATTCCTAACAGCTGGTAGGCAGTTAGGAATTGTGGCAATTGAAGTCCAAAATACCCGGAGGGCCCAAGTTTGCCCATGCCTGCCTTTGCCACAAATATGCAGTGACAACCTCTTTGATTGTAGGTGAACTATAAATCTAACCAACTCCAAATCCAAATGTCACAGTCTATTTTCCCCAAACTCCACCAGTGTTCAAATTTGGGCATATTGCGTATTTGTGCCAAGGTTGGTCCAGATCCATAGCTGTTTGGGTTCACAGTACTCTCCAGATGTAGGCAAACTACATCTCCCCTAAATCACTGTCAATTCTTCCCACACCACTCCAGTATATTCTGGTCATGGCAGTTCTGTGTGCTAAATTTGGTCCAGTTCTGTAATTCCTGGGGGGTCTCAGTAGTCTGTGGAAGTCAGAGCAGAATACTGCAAATCCCATCATTCATTGCCCATACTCCCCCAAACATATTGTTTTTGTGATTCATTGCTATGCTTTAATTATATTCAATTTGTAACAATGAAAATACATCCTGTATATCAGATATTTATTTTACTGGGTTGCTGTGAGTTTTCTGGGCTGTTTGGCCATGTTCCAGAAGCATTCTCTCCTGATGCCTGCCACATCTATGGCAGGCATCCTCAGAGGTTGTTGGGATCTGTTGGAAGCTAGGCAAGGGAGGTTTATATATCTGTGGAATTTCCAGGATGGAAGAAAGAATGATTTTCTGTTGGAGGTAACTGTGAATGTTGGAACTAATCACCTTGATTAGCATTGCAAAGCTTTGCAGCTTCAAGGTGTGGCAGATTCCTGTCTGGGGTAATTCTTTGTTGGGAGATGCTAGCTGGCCCTGATTGTTTCATGCCTGGAATTCCCCAGTTTTCAGAGTGTTGTTCTTTATTTGTTGTTGTTGTTCATTCGTTCAGTCGTCTCCGACTCTTTGTGACCTCATGGACCAGCCTACGCCAGAGCTCCCTGTCGGCCGTTACCACCCCCAGCTCCCTACTAGAGCCTTAAACTTAGCTACTCCAGAACCTACCGATACGGTAGCTGACCCGTGTTTTACTTCCACTGAACAACAACAACCCTCATCCACTGTGTTGCCCACTCTACCCTACTTATTAAAGATTCTCAAAAATAATGGAGTTGCCCCGGCTTCGGTCCCGGCAACTCCTAAAAGACCTGAAAACTTGTACCATATTGATCTTTCCTCAGCCTCATGGCTGGCTAAAATGCCTAAAGCAAATTCTGTCGTTACTGATGCTCAACCTAAACCAACTCAAGTTAACCAAACCTCTCCCTCTGATAAAGAAGGAAGGAAATTGGATGCTATGGCCAAAAAATTCTACTCCTCAGCATGCCTCTTTGCACGCATGGCTCACTATGGAGTATACATGAGCGTATACCAGACTCTCTTGTGGAATAAAATAGCTCCCTATTTAGACCTATTACCTCCAACTGAACAACCTCTGGCCACAGCTTTTAGACAAGAAGCTCTCCTTTTGGCCTCCCTACAAAAAGACCTCTCCAAAAATATTGCTGACACCTCAGGCAAACTTATTGCAGGTTCAGTGGCCCTTCGCCGCCACGCCTGGCTAAGGGCAGCTATCCTCTCTCAATCACAACGCACTCTGATTGAGAATCTTCCCATGGATGAGGCAGGCCTTTTCAATCCTGAAACAGATTCTCAATTGAAACACTCCCATGAAATGAAACAAACGGTGTACAAGTATGACCAACAACCATACTCTTACCAACGCCAGCGATGGGGGTCCTACTACTACCGTCCTCAATATTACAATAGGCCCTACAACACCTCATTCTACAGGGGACGACAGAGGCCTTACACCCCCTCCACATCGTCAAGACGACCACCCTTGCCATGCAGAGGTCAGTACCGCGGTACCAGGCCCCCCTATACCAACAAACATCATTTTTAGCACACCTACACCTACTACCACTCTCCTACCACCTCACACCCAACCACTTACATACCTGGACAGATTACATACCTTCCTCCCGACATGGCAGTCCATAACCATGGACACCTGGGTCTTGGACATCTTTGAAAGGGGCTACGCCATAGAATTTGACAACTAACCTCCAGTGGGCAATATACTACTAACCCCACCTTCCCAAACCATTTGGGAAGAGATTCACTCTCTCCTCCAAAAAGGCGCCATCTCGCCTACTTCTTCACAAGATGCAGACACCTGCTTTTTCTCCCGTTACTTCCTGGTAGATAAGAAAGATGGTGGTCTACGCCCCATCCTTGATCTACGTAAGCTCAACACTTTCATTACACCACGTAAATTTCGCATGGTAACGCTTCCCAAAATTCTCCCCTTCATTCCCAAAGACTCATGGTTAGCCACGGTGGACCTACGGGACGCCTACTTCCATATTTCAATTAGACACTCCCACCGCAGGTTCCTTACCTTTGCGGTCCAAAACAAATTCTTCTCTTTCAATTCTCTCCCATTCGGACTGTCCACAGCACCAAGAGTATTCACGAAGTGCATCTCTGTTGTAGCCGCACACCTCCGCCAACAAGGCGTCACAGTTTTTCCTTACCTGGATGACTGGATGTTCTGCTCGTCCTCTCGGTCACAATTGTGTAAAGATACTGATTATACTTTATCTCTTTTACAGGATCTGTGTCTGGTCGTGAATCACGAAAAATCTCACCTGACCCCAACACAACGCATCCAATTCATAGGAGCCGTAATAGACTCCACACTTCAGAAGGCCTTCCTCCCAGAAGATCGCTTCCTCAATTTGTGCCAATCCATCCTGGCCCTACAACAATCCCGCCAAACATCAGCTTGGGCTATCCAGTCTATCCTTGGCCATATGGCTTCTACCACAAACGTAACACCCTTTGCTCGCCTGAGAATGAGACCCCTTCAAAATTGGTTTCTCAGGGCGTTCGACCCCCTTCACGAACCCCAGTCACGGGTCCTAAAACCACCCCTCCCTGTCCTCCAGTCACTCTCATGGTGGACAAAGCAATACAATGTTCAATCGGGGATGCCATTCAGTCATCCCCGTCCCTCTATGTCCCTCACAACCGACACCTCCAACTCAGGATGGGGAGCACATCTCAAAGGATTTCAGGTCAGTGGCCACTGGTCCCCACAAGACCAGAAGTTCCACATCAATGCTCTAGAAATGATGGCAGTGGAGAAGGCCCTTCGGGCCTTCGCACGCATTGTATCCAACCATGTTATACAAATAGTAACAGACAACACCTCTGTCAAATACTACATCAACAAGCAGGGAGGAACATGCTCACGCACACTCCTCTACATCTCACAACGCATTTGGGAGTGGTGCATTCGGAGGAATGTCCTTCTCACAGCCATTCACTTGCCAGGCCAGGACAACACCCTGGCAGACTCTCTAAGCAGATCACTGAAAAACAACCACGAGTGGCATCTGCACCCCAGACAGTTCAAAGCCCTCACACACAAGTGGGGCGAACCCAGAATAGACCTCTTTGCATCTCCAATAAACAATCACTGTCCCCTCTATTGCGCACGGCTCCACCCTCGCGCATCCCAAGGCTGTCTCGGAGACGCCTTCCTATTCCAATGGTCGCCTGGCCTCCTCTACCTCTTCCCACCTCTCCCTCTCCTATCTCCAGTCATAGCCAAAATAATCCAGGACAATGCGGACTGCATTCTAATCACACCCTGGTGGCCACGACAACACTGGTTTGCCCCCCTTCTCCAAATCTCCAACAAGGAATACCTCCATCTCAACCAGACCCCAGACCTTCTCACAGTAGAGAACGGCCTGGTCCTACACCCAGACCTGCAATCTCTACGCCTAACGGCGTGGAGGATCAAACCACACTAGTCCTTTCTGATGAAGTCTCCCGCATACTCTTGGCGGCCCATAAACCCGCCACTAAAAAATCGTATGACTATAAGTGGTCCTCTTTCAAATCCTTTGCTCAATCACTGGGACACAACCCCATTTCTGCACCTATACCCATGATACTAGACTTCCTAGTCCATCTCTCCGACAAAGGTTTCTCCCTTTCTTCGGTGAAATGCTACCTGGCAGCGATTTCCTTTTTCCGAAGAAAGTCCGGCTTGCCGTCCCTTTTTCAGGACCATTTGGTACAATTATTCCTCAAGGGCTACAAAAATATCCACCCTCCCGTCTCCCCCCCTCCCCCCCAGTGGAGCCTGGAGCTAGTGTTATCCCAGTTATCCAAACCACCGTTTGAACCTATGGCCTCTAATGATATCTCCCACCTATCGTGGAAGACGGCCTTCCTTGTGGCCATTACCTCAGCCAGGAGAGCCAGCGAACTCGCGGCCCTCCGCTCAGACCCCCCCTATGTTAGATTCCACCCTGACAAGGTCGTCCTCCGCACCGATGTCACGTTCCTCCCTAAGGTGGTCTCCCATTTTCATATGTCGCAAGACATTGTTCTACCAAATTTTTTCCCCAACCCATCCTCCCAGTTGGAGGTAGTTCTGCACTCCCTTGATGTTAAAAGAGCACTCTCCTTTTACTTACATAGAACTTCCGCCTATAGGAAGTCTCCCAGATTGTTTTTGAAATACAGGAAAGACGTACTTGGCCAACCTGTGTCCTCCCAAGGACTAGCCTCCTGGATTGTTGCGACAATCCGTCTAGCCTACCAACTCGCAGGCAAAGACCCTCCATCTCACCTTGTGGGACGCTCAACACGCTCTGTGTCCACATCTCAAGCATTTCTCAAAGGAGTCCCCTTGGACCAAATTTGCAAAGCAGCTACGTGGGCTACACCGTCCACGTTTGCCTCCCACTACAAGCTTGACATACAAGCAAAGAAAGATGCCGGTTTCGGCAGAGCAATTCTTTTCTCCTGTGTGGCATGACCCCCTCCAGGTCAGTAGCTTGCTATTCACCCATAGGTGCGCATTTTCACGGACGACACGAAGAATAAATAAAGGTTGCTTACCTGTAACCGTATTTCTTCGAGTGTCAGTCCGTGAAATCCGCACGACCCGCCCGTCCTCCCCTCTGTCATGCCATTCTCCTGGCCGCTGTTTAGCGCTAGGAACTAGATAATGGCGGCGCCGCTCGGCGCTTATATCCGGGGGGCGGGGAGATGGGCGGAGCCTATATGGCTCAAAATAATCATTTTTAATTCATTTTAACTTAGAATGTTCCGAGTTTCTGCGCATGCGCAAGGAAGAACCCATAGGTGCGCATTTCACGGACTGACACTCGAAGAAATACGGTTACAGGTAGGCAACCTTTATTTATTGCTGAACTATCAAGAAATTTCTTTCTAATGATCTATAAAAAAAACCTGCTCTTCTATAACTTAAAAACATTAAACTTGTTCTGTCATGTGCTTCCATGACTTACAATGTAAAACCTGCTCTTCTATAACTTAAAAACATTAAACTTGTTCTGTCATGTGCTTCCATGACTTACAATGTATGTAAAGGTGTGTAGTATTGTAGTCTGTGTTTTGATGATTTGGCATTCAGTTACAGATGTGATCTGACTTTTAGTGGCTGTTTGGCAATGAATGGATGAGAACTGTTGTTTGGTGATAGTTACCTGGATAAAAAAATGAACCTCTATGCATCAGATCTGTGTTTTATTCCACAATGGCATAGTGCAGCTCGGGATATGTGATTGTTGTGGTGCAGTTCATGGTTTTGGAAGTACTTCTGTGAACCAGACCGCCATTCATATTAATACACTAAGACATTGCTGTGAAACACCAGCACATTAATATATACAGGATTAACAAACAAACAGTTAGAACACCTTCCTAAGCAAATCAATGTTATTAGATGTCTGACAATGTCGCAATAATTGTCAGGTGTTCTGTAAAATTAGCCTTGGTTTGATTCTATCTACCTGTTCATTAACTTACTCTATCAGTTTGTGGTACCAAGGCAAGAATTTTACTGTTTGCATTTATTTGCTACCATTTATAATTTTGAAAGTGAAAAAAATGAACATTTCAATTATAAAAATGTTTTTATATGAGTAAGGATAATTTTGGTAATGTATATAGAAAACCATGGCTAAAGAGTACTATGATACAACCATAGATGTTTCCTAAAGTTTTGAAGAGGTGCAAGGGGAAAAGTAATGTTTGCTATACATGGACTTTGTGTCTTGATTTGGAAAAATTCCGTTCAAGACTTCAGTTTACACAAAATGAAGAGATGGGTTTGAAATAATTCCTTATAAATTCAAATATTTGACATGTTTGACTTTATAGGAGTTTACTTCTTTCCTGGTGGATTCCTGCTCTCTGCTTCATCAGACGTACCTTCAAATACACAGGTAAATAAAACATACCTGGTAATGAATTTGATTTCATTGCAGGATCATCACCCTGTCTGTGGCTGCATCCGCACTGTCGAATTGACACCATTTTACCTGCCATGGCGCTGTGCTAGGTAATCCTGAGATTTGTTGTTTGTTGAGGCAGAGAAGGCTAAAGACTTTGTAAAAACTACCAGCTCCCATGATGCCATAGCATTCAGCCATGGCAGTTAATATGGCATCAAGCTGGATTGATTCTACAGTGAACATGCACACCAAGAAACAGCTGTGAGACCCTTGCTGAAGAAGTTATTATTGGACCAAGCTCAGATGGACAACTTACAAGCACTCTTTTCTTTCCTGTTCTTGAGCAAAGTGCTTTAGTTTGTGTTGACTAGATACTTACTGTGTGGATAAGTGTGCTTAATCTATCTCTTTCTAGGAGAGGTTGCAACTGGAATGCCAGCCTAGAGCTGGGAAATGTTTCTTGACACTAATCCTGCTTTATGCTCAAGTGAGAATGTCATTTAACAGCATCGTGCTGTAATTATGAATTGATGCTTGGTGTTTACAATGCAAGTAGTGATTAGATGCTGCATATTCTTTCCTAACAGCAAGTTTCCTCCAAGTCTTCACGCCCCTGCGATTTCCAAGGCTCATCAGGATGAAATGGCAAGGGGATTCCTTGTGACATTGGACTCTCTTCTCAGTCTGCTGGTTTCCTTTAAGCCTTTCGTTGAAGTAGTATTAAGTAAAACTCCAGGTACACTTGAATGTGCTGACTGACTGCCCTACATTGTCTTGTGTGTGGGAACTGAATATGTGGTCAGGATCCCATAATAGTCCTGACCTTAATACCCTTTGGGGGAAAAGATTTTTTTAAAACACACACACGGTACAGTTATATTTCAGTGGATATTGGTTTAACCAGTCTAAAAATAATTATTACCTTTAATCTTGACTAATTTTATGGTTTTTGACATTTTCCACATTATTATAGTGCTATAGAATAATAATAATAATAATAATAATAATAATAATAATAATAATAATAAATTTGACTTCTAGGATCTCTGAGCTGTTTACATGGCTATGGGCCCCTAGATTAATTTGCTCTGTCAGGACACGAGAGCACCATACAAATTAAAAACTTGTTTTTAAAATAAATTATTTTGAAAAAATCATTCCAGATCTCCCTTCTGAGCTGCACTTTCCACAGTGTCGACTTCTGCTTTCTGTAATGGACACATTGCCATCTCAGTCCCAGGATGTGAAAGCTATTTGGAACACAGGAAATCAGTATCCAGAAGAAATTCCCAGGTAATTCCATACTATCATAGGGTTCATTTGGTTTGGTATCCTCTGTATTGACAAGCTGGGTGCCTGTCTTGTCTTGAATGTATTTTATTAAAAGGAGTGCTTCAGTTAGTTTAACAATCTTTTTTCTCTGGGGAGAAGTCTGGGGCAAAGTAGGAGTTTAGCTTTCTCTTTATCCCCTGTTACCATTTCTCCATCTTCAATACTCAGTAACACTAATGTTTCTTTATTCTTCTAGCCTATAAATGAATATATTTTTTATTATTTTAACTTCTATCATGCATATGCTCATTCTGAGCTTTTAGCTTTTTGACTTTCCCCTTATAACTACTGGCCTTTACTATTATTCTTTGATTATTCTAATTTGATTTCTTCTGTATCTCACTTTTAAATTTCACCTCATCTGAAAGTTCTTTGTGTATTCACCTTGATTTCTTTAGATATCTCCCACTTACCTTTCTCATCGGAGTTGTTCCCAGCTGCATTTTCATTATCTCATATTTAAGAAACTCCCGTGCATCATGAACTCAGAGCTTAGGAACTAATTCAGTATTTCCCTGAGTTTACCAAAATCAGCTTTCTTGAAAGCTAGAAGGAGTGTTTTGACTATATTTAGCTTCACCTTTCCTTCATATAACAAATTCCGAGAGGACATGGTCATTCCCATCCAAGAATCCCTCTATTTCCATCAATTTGTTCAATAGGTTGGGATCAGATCCAAAATAACGGATCCCCTTGTTGCCTCCTCCACCTTTTGGACAATAACATTGCCTGCAAGGCTAGGGAGGAATATGGTGGACCTTTTAAAATTGGCAGAGTGTGATTTCCAATGAATAGCAGGGGGGGTTGAAACCTTCTCTTACTGAGTCTATTTTTTTAAATATATATATTTGGCTATGTGTTTTAGAAAGGCATCATCCATATCTTCAATTTGGCTAGGGACCCTATAGGAGTTGCCCACAATGAGGTCGCTTTCTTGATGGCGCCATCTACAAAGCCAGTTGTTCCCTCTAGTACTCTCTGTCTTTCTAGGCCACATTCTTCAACAGGAAGAAGTGATTAAGGTCTTTTAGCTTCGTTCCTAGAGACTCGTGGACCCTTATAATATCTTGAAGGCTTTTTTGTTGTTCATTCGTTCAGTCATCTCCGACTCTTCATAACCTCATGGACCAGCCCACGCCAGAGCTCCCTGTTGGCCATCACCACCCCCAGCTCCTTCAAGGTCAGTCCAGTCACTTCAAGGATGCCATCCATCCATCTTGCCCTTGGTCGGCCCCTCTTCCCTTTTCCTTCTATTTTCCCCAGCATCATTGTCTTCTCTAAGCTTTCCTGTCTTCTCATGATGTGGCCAAAGTCCTTCATTTTGGCCTCTATTATTCTTCCCTCCAATGAGCAGTCGGGCTTTATTTCCTGAAGTATGGACTGGTTGGATCTTCTGGCAGTCCAAGGCACTCTCAGAACATTCCTCCAACACCACAGTTCAAAAGCATCAATCTTCCTTCGCTCAGCCTTCCCTATGGTCCAGCTCTCACATCCATAGGTGACTACGGGGAAGGCTATGTCTTACTATATAATTTGTCCCAATGCACAAGGTCATATGGAAGGAGTAAGAATCAGAGCTTGTTGAGTTTTGTTAACCTGTTATATTTGCCTTCCTTTTTAAAAAACTTTGAGTTCATCTTGTATAGCAATATCTAAGACCATTTGATCATTCTCACAGAGATTCCTTGTTGTTGTTTTTCAGCCCACTGTTGAGTTTCCTGTGTTAATGGTCCTCCAATTCCCTCTGTATAAGAAAAACCTTAATCCCAACGCCCTTGTGTCCCTCCCCAGAGTTTTATATTCCCTTGCAATATGTTGAAAGTTGTACCTTCTGGTTTCCTTTGTTCCACCATGAAGGGATAATGGATGGTGGGCTTAATGAACCTTGTCAGCCTCTCCGTTACATCATGAATCTTTGCTCCAGGAGACAGCATACCTCACAAAACAACTTATTGGTTGTATAATTCCAAACTGGCAGCATGGTTCTTAATAATTTTGCCAAAACCTAAAATCGTATGCTGCCTAGAAGATATTTTGAAACTTGAGATATCAGCATTATAATCTACTGATTATCACTTTTGTACTATACAGAAAAATCTCCTGGGTATTTTTAAGAGTATAGTCCTTCTTATAGTCTTCATTATAACAAACTGTTTCATAGAAGGACAACATCAAACCTCAAAATAATGCTTGTCCAAAAATGGACAGAGCATGCTAATTTTGAGAATGGTCAATATTAAAACAGGATCAACACTCGTCTTTTTTCTTGTTATGTTGTGTTTTGTTCAGTATAAAAGTTGTGCTTAGCATAAAAGCTTTAAAATGTCATATTGTTACCTAATTTTCTTCTTTCTCTATAACAAAAATAACACTATACAACAAAATTTGAAAAATAATATGTTCCTGCTTTGAAAATGTCATTTCCTGTTTAATTGTGCAGTACATACTTTGAAAGTAATTTGTGGCTGCCACAAATTATGTTGAATTTGTTGAGACTCTGAAATACTCATTCAAAAACTATAGCAAAATGGGCTACAGGATGTCCCACAAAAACAAAGTTTTTGCAATTTAATAAACTTTTTCATTGTTTTTATGATAGAACCAATTATGAAATGACATTTTTAACCCAGGAACAAAAATAGTGTTACTTTTTTTTTAATTTTACATTATTATGATTGTTAACCTTTTATGTTGAAATGCACGATGAATAGTTGCAATGACCTTGTCATCTGGTAGTAAAGAAATAAAACTGCTCTTTTCCTTTTCTTTGAAGAATGACCTTGCTTTCAGCCCTCTTTCATAGTCTTCAGCAGTGCTCCGGCGAGCTTTCCCTTCCTGTTCTTTCTCCAGGAATGATGGGAACAGGGCAACACAAAAGCACCTTTTACCACTATGTCTGCATCCACCTGTGTACCTTTATCACAACACTCTCTGTATCACATTTTCATCTACTGGTAAGGAAAGGTCTTGCTTATTGTAATCTGCCAGTGTAGTCTGAACTTTGAAATCAAGGTTCACAATAGATAGCTAGGCAATTCCTCAGAGATATGTTTGGAGATACTACATTTGTCAAAAATCACTAGGAAAAAAAGCCACACTGATCACTGTATGGTTTTGAGTGTTGCTGTTATGCCCAGATCTTGATAGATATACTCTGTTCTGTTTGGTGAATGTTTCTGAATTTTTTTTCTAAGGACAATGGTATCAATTTTTAAGATCATTCTTTTGTAATGTTAGGTACTTTTGAGGAGATAATGTATTTATTAGATAGATAAATCAAGATAAAGGGAATAAGAGGATGGAAATTGGAAGTGAGTGGTGATTGGTGGAATGTCTGAGACAGTTTTAAAAGTCAGATATATTGGAGGGAATTAGAGTAATCTCTTAGACCACATCTACACTGACTAATGCAGTTCAAAGACAGCTCTAAACTTCGGCAGCCAGACACCAGTCACAAAAGCACAGAAAAGAAAGTCCTTAATGTGCATCAATGCTTTGTGCAATCACCATCTGGACCTCAGACTGGTTCCACAGTTTCCTGTATAAAAGTTTAGAAATGATTTAGGTTTAGAAATGCTCGGGGTCAAAGATAAGCATTAGTTAGAGACTGGGTTAGTTTGGATATGAGAATGAGAGTGGGAGATATGATTTAGATGTAGTAATTAAGTAATCTGTGATGTTATGTTTAATTTCTGTTTAATAGATCATTATTGACATCTCATACCCTTGAGTTACTGAAAGCACTACATCCTAGAAAGTTTTAAGTTCAGGTGGGGGTGTCCGATGGATACCTTGCAATTCTCATACAGGAATTGCAAGGTAACTGGCGGGAGAGGTGGGGTCCCATGAAGCACTCATATTTGATGGCACTGGCTGGGATAAGTAGAAGCTCTCACAACTCGCAACGCTAAGGATAGAGGATGAGACAAAACACAGTAACGCAGTTTGGAATGAGGGGGAAGGGATTCCCTCAGCCTAGCTTAATTCTATCTATCTGCTTCTCATTGAGGACTATAGAAATGAGTGCTGTGAGGTTAAATTCCAACAAAATGGCCTTAAAAACAAATTATAGACAAAATTGTGCTCATGTATGTTTTCTTTTTCTCATTAGGAATGCTTCTTGTTAGAGACCGTACTTGGTTCTCATACGATCATTGCTCTCCTGGCTATGGATGCTTGGTGTTTCCTTGCTAGGTAAGATTAAAATGTATTGAAGGAGAACGGCGTAATAAATGACTGAATTGCTAAGTTTTCTCTCCTTTTGAAAGGCAAGAATCTTATTTATAAATAATAATAATAATAATAATAATAACACTTTATTTATATTCCGCCTTTCTCCCAGAGGGACTCAGAGCATATTACAGCATATAAACAGACACAGGCTAACATTCAATGTCTTGTTACAGTGAGATACAAAGATATAGACAAAGGCAAAGGATGCTCCTTTTTCATTTTCGGCTCTAGAGGCGATGCTCATCCCTGGCTCTGGGGGAGGTGCTCTTCTCCATTTCCAAGCTGAGGAGCCTGCGTTGTCCATAGACACCTCCTGGTCATGTGGCCAGCATGATTACATGGAGCATCTTTTTGTTTTTGTTTTTTTCCTGCCAAAGCAGTACATATTGATCTACTCTCATTTGCATGTTTTCGAACTGCTAGGTTAGCAGGAGCTAGGGCTAACAGTGAGAGCTCAATTCCTTCCATGGATTTGGACTGCCAACCTTCAGATCAGCAGTTCAGCAGCAAAAGGGTTTAACCCAGGTTTAAACTGCAGTCCTCCAGGTATTTGGGCCTCCAATTCGCAGAAGTCCTAACGAGCTTGTTCAATTGTCAGGAATTCTGGGAGTTGAAGGCCCAAACTGCTGGAGGGCCGCAGCTTGAGGATGCCTGGGTTAACCCTTTGTGCCACCTGTGGAAGAAACTAGTCTTCATGAAGGATAAAATGGCATGTATGCACTATTAAAGTTTTTTTCTATGGTAAGAGGCAGCAGATTATCAGATACCAATGAACTTCTCAGTCATGAAACATAACTTGAACCCAAATCTTTTCCATTCAAGATCAACAAAGACCAACAGCAAGAGGAGATCTGATGGCATATGTATTACTCATCAATTTATTGGTTGATTATAATCTCATTCTCATCTTCCAGGTTTGAAACAGCTGATCTGTGTGCTCATCATACATTTATAATAGCACATTTGGTAAGTCAAATGCATTTTTTATTTATAAGCAGACCTATATTCAACCAGAATGGAAAATGTAACTAGAAAACCATGGGATCTTAGTATTGGTAAAGGCTCCGTAGACCATCTAGTCCAGCCCTCAGATCAATGCAGGAACTCCAGCTAGAGCATCCTAGTTGGCAGCTTTCCAGCCTCTTTCTGAGGACTTCCAGAGAAAAAGTCCCCCACTATCTGGAGTTGAAAGAGACCACAAAGACCATCCAGTCCAACCCTCTTTCATTGAGGGAAAGCACAAAGCACCCTGACATGCTCATCCAGCCTATGTTTAAAAGCCTCCAGAGAAGGAAACTCCACCATGCTCTAATGCAGTACATTCCACTTTTGAACAGCTCTTACCCCCAGGAAGTTCTTGGTCATGTTTAGGTGGAATCTTTTTCTTGTAATTTATCTGAGTAATTAGTTCCGTTACCAGTCTGTTAATCAAAATATCATGGGAGACATCAAATGCTTTGCTGAAATCCAAATAAACTACATCTACTGCATTCCCACCATCTACTAAACTAATGACCCAATTAAAAGTATATATAAGATTACTCTGGCATGATTTTTCCTTGACAAATGTTTGCTAGTTCCTACTAATAATTTCATTATCATTCAGACACGTGTGAACATGCTCCATTATATATTCCAGTATTTTTCCAAGTACTGAAGTCAGGTTGGTTGGTCTGTAGTTCACTGGATATTCTTTTGCCCTTTTTGAACTCAGGGATAATGTTTGCTCTTCTTTAGTCATCCACTATGTCACCCAATCTCCAAGATTTGTTTACTAACTGGTGGTTTTCCCTTCATGTGTAGCATGTGATCTAGCTCATATTTTTGAGTCACTAATTCATTTTTAGACATCTCTACTCTACAGCCTGATGGATTTCTGTTTTCTAGTTTTGGAGGGTAGTTAGTTCATAAGGTACAGGCTATTCATGCGACAGAGTTTGGCTTGATGAATTTCAGGTCCTTGATTGTAGGTATAGTGGTGAACTACAGTTTTGAGAAAGAAATGTTGATAGGACTTTCTGTCTATGTATAAAAATTATACTTCATGCATATGAATAAGTGAATTGTAATCTGCAAAGTTTGTTAGAGATATTACATGACTTTCTGATTTTGCCAAATATTTTGTTTTTGAACCTTATTTAAATATTTCTGTATTTGACCATTAAAAACATATTTGTTTCCCAATTCAGATAAAAGTCTGTCCTGCTGAGAGTTACCAAGCCACTCAGCTGGGGGTCTTGCTACGTCGTTTGCTCTTTTTGATGACTGCTGAACACCAGGCAAGCACTGTCACAGTCTGTCTTGACCTGTCCCAATCCATACATATTAGTACTGCATTCTTCAGTCAACTTATTCAAATAAAGTTTTGTTGAATTACTTGACAGAGAACAATTCTGTATTATTATGGCCTGCTTGAATGTGTTAGGCCGAGTGACAAAAACATCAATATTTTTATTGCAGATTGTATAGCTTTGGTTTGTTGTCATAATGGCACAAGAAAAAATATTTTCATTTTATTTTAATTAATATGCATATACATTGCTTCTTTTCCTAATTTACAGAATGGCTAACAGTAAAGCCAAATGGTACAATATACCACAATTTAATATAGTTGATAATTACAATACAAAACAAATCCTATTATTATTTTGACAAGGAATAAAACAGCATTATTTTAAAAAATGACACACAATGAGACAGTAATCTTCAACTGGCACCACTGTATGACCTGCAGTGTTCCCTCATTAGTAAAGTAAAGGTAAAGGTTTCCCCTGACATTAAGTCTAGTCGTGTCCGACTCTGGAGGTTGGTGCTCCTCTCCATTTCTAGGTCGAAGAGCCCCTGCCTATTTCCTTCTAACAGTAAATAGTAACCATACTGATAGGAGCTATGTACCTGTAAGTTTTATAAATGTTCATTCAAAATTTCATTCAGGGAGGCATTTAACACATTTTAATGCCAGAAATGGCAGAGGAGGAGCGTGTCCGGTCTTTCTGGGGTGCTTCTGGTCTTTAGTTTCCCTCTCTGGATTGCCTATTTTAACTCTGAGAAAAGAAAAATTGGCTTGCTATAAATTTCTTGTCTTTTGAGTAAGAATTGTCCTTTGCAATAACTTTCTTGCTTAGGTCCAGAATGAGTAGTTGGAATATGAAGTCTTTATATTACATTTAATTAATATTAAATATCATTACAGTAAAATAAGAATGTTTATTATGAAGTTTTTATTCATAAAGTATAATGTTTGAGGGAGCTTCTTACCATATTTTAAAAAGGCATTGATTTTTTTTCTGTTCTTTCTGATTCTTTCTTCCTCTCTTCACAGGTGAAGTTTGCTGATAAATTTCCTCCTAAAGATACAGAGAACCTGCAGTTATGGCAGCATCTTTCTCTCCAAGCGCTTACGCCTCTGCTCAGGCCACAGGTTGCTCGTGAGATTTTTGTAGTGGGATTTACGCAATGTCAGGAGTGGCTGAACAGTGGAAGATCGTTAGATGAATTTCCACAAGTGGTGAGTAAACAGATTTCTGCTAGTTCATTAAACATTCTGATCAGGCTGCTCTTCTATTTAGTTGCAATTTAGAAAAATAGAATTTACCTGCAAATAACCAGAAAAACAGGTATTTGGGGGTTACAATACAATACAAAACTTTATTACAGTTTTATTCATGAAATCCCACATGTTTTTCTCTGGAGAGTAATTCTTCTGTAATATACAGAATTTTAAAATACAGGGAGAATACTGTAAAATATTATTTGCTAATTTTCTCAATGGGGAAAAAAACTACCATCATTTTTGGTCTTTGCATGTAAGAATGAAATGAAAGAATTCACATCCTAGTAATAAAAAAATACAATCAGTGTAATATTTACTTGATTTGCTTTCATTATTTGTAGCATGTAAAATACTTTTTAAAAAATCTTGCCACTGTGGACCAAATTATTTTTTTCTGCTAAGACCCCTTATTCTGCTTTCTAGTATGTTGTAGAAGTTCATCTCATGAAGTGTTCCTAACTTTTCACAATTGCTCCATTTTCCATCAGAACATTGCTTTCTCTGCTTTGCTGTCTGTTTGCCAGACTTCTGGAGAAATGCTGGAGCCGGATCAACGTACAGCTCTGATTGGGACCCTTGGCCAGTTCTTGGCAGTTCTACATCCCACAGAGGTGAGAACAATCCTGCATTATGTTGTTATAGTTTCCACATAAAAATATGATATATCAGAAAAATTGAGTGAACAACACCCTGCTCTGGTGAGGAGGGGGTATACAGAAATAATTCCATCATTTTATTGGCTTAGAGTAGGTGTGGAAGACAGTAGACTTTACAGATGCTTTTGCAATAGCCTCACTATATCTCATGATAATACTTTACTTGCCGCATGTGTGACAGTATTCCTTGCTGGCTTTGTTGATAGCAAAAATTATGTCATGTGCCAAAAAAGGAAAGAGACCCCTAGTTTCCGGATTTTATCATAGCCAAGTAGGCTTCAGACAAGAAGGTCTTTCCCAATCTAATTCTTTACAGTATTGAATATCCACATTATTTTATTATGATATTAATTGCAGCTAACTATTTTGTAATTTATTATACAGACAGTCCTTGAGTTACAAGTACCCGACTTGCATATGACTCCTAGTTATAAATGGGGTGTGGTGGGGGGTGAGACAACAGGAAGAGAGAGGAAATCTACCCCTTGGAAGGAAAATTCACTTCTGAAAGAGTTATCCTGGGAAAAACCTGTATCCACTGAAGCTTTATTGCCAATTTTTGTTTCCACAACAACTCACATTTTTAAAAATCCAAATATCACAGGGACAGAAAAGGAGGTGAAATCTTCTAACTAGGGGCACAAACAGCAAAACAAACATTACAGGGTGTTAATTCTTCCCTATGCTGTCCAAAATTATTGAAGTTACACTTTGAAAGTGTACCTGTTCGGACTTGCATACAAGTAAAGCTTGAGAACAAACCTACAGAACCTATCTTGTTTGTAACCTGGGCCCTTGATGTATTAATTTTGACTTAGTACTTCATTCATGTTGCAATAATCTTGAATCTTGGTTCATCCTTTTTCTGGTATTAACTACTCATCCTAATGTGGGGTAATTTGAAGATATGATGAACATGTCTTCCATTCTTTCATCCAAGTAATTTATAACAATACTGAATAAGTGATACTCACTGGTCATTGGTTTACTGGTCAGCACTCTGGCTTCAGTCAGCCAGTAACTTAACAATAGACAACATTTTACCAGCTAGTCTAGAAGATTATCAGAAGCTATACTGAAATCAATGTAGGCCACATCCATGACATTCCTCTTATTTACTGAGGTTGTAACTGCGTTTTTAAAATAGGTAAGAGTAGTTTGCCATGTTTTGTTTATGACAAATTAGTGCCAAATGTTGGAAACTACAAATGTGGAGGTGGGTCCCCATTAATATCTAACTCATCCCTAAAAGAGCCAATGCATGTCTACATTCAAACACTGGACATATATGTGTGCATTCACATTTGTCCCATTTCAACATGTTATCATTAAACAGCTACAGAAAAGCAATCTGTTCTTTTTCTCCTTTAACAAAAATCCCTGTAAAGGAACTGAGTCAGAAGGCAGTAGCCTGCAGCAATTTAGATTTAGCCTGACCTGAATTCACATTTCCAGACATATTCTGCAGGTTTTAAAATAGGAGAGGTTTTTTTTAAATGGATCTTTGATAAATGAAACCAATTGATTTCCATGGCCTGCATTCCATAGTCCCACTTCAGAGACTGAATATCTCCCTGCTATAGTAGTAGCAATAACAGCAACAACAACAACTTTATTTTTGTACCCTGCCTCCATCTCCCCGAAGGGACTCGAGGTGGCTTACATGGGGCCAAGCATAATCAATATAGTTAAAATGTAGCACATTAAAATGCTTAACAGTATAAAACAAAATAAAACAACATTATAACAATATATAAAAACGGGCATCAAACCAACAACCAGTAATAAAATTCAATTGCTAGACCTTGGTAGTATTAAATACACATTTTCCTGCTCCTAGAATTTTTAACTCTTTCATTTAACTGGAACTGGGGTTCTTTGAGGGCCATAAGATGTCATTTTTATCTAATGAAGGTATCGAGTCTGCCTCATCTACAGCACACCTGTTGCTTGGTATTTCAACTTCTGCAATTCTTCATCCAGATGTTAGAGCCCCAGTTACTGATCCAGGTGAGTAAAGGGACACCATGTTCAACAGCAATGACATCAAAGGGGAATTCACGCTGGGGCAGGAGAGGCGGGGCAGCATGGCTCCTGACCTTTTAATGGGCAATCTCAAATACTCCTTTTTCTTGTAGATATTTGCACTGCAAACATCCCTCATCCAGCAGAATCCCTCAGATCATATTCTCATTGCAATCTTAGATTTTCTCTCTTCAATGGGGAAAGCCTTTATTGTACCAGACTTCCAGGTAATTACACTGGGCCGTTGTTCAGTCATTCATTTTGATTATCCTTCAGTAGGTGTTATTTCTGAGTGAAAAGAATAGTAAGACTAAAGCAAAAATTCAAAATACATAATAAGCACAGATGGAAGTAGTATCAATTCCTAGAGACAATAATGCATTACTTTTAAATTATACTGGGCTTCGCAATGATTATTACTGATTTTTTTTTTTTTTACGTAAGAGTTCAGCTGCAGGATAGTATGGTTTCCTCTGTGCCCTGTCAGCTGCTGAATCATTGGAATGGTCTGGATGTTGTTGTTGCTTACCCTGGGGAAGAGGAAGAACTTGGATCAGGATGGCAACAAAACAAAGGTGCATTCCCGCACAGAAAGCACCCTCTTTTTCCTTCTTTTTCAAGTACAGAGCAGCCACATCATTGACTGAATTGTCTCCCTTCCTCACTGATAAGCCCTTTCCAGATCAGTGTAATTGCATACATTTACTCCTAACTGAGTAAAACTTAGGGGTTTTTTTATTGTCATCCTGTAGATCTTATTTGTCTATTTAATTATTTTAATTGTGATTCCTGGGAGAGGGATATATATATTAAAAACCTCCAGCAGTAACTTTGTTGTTCTAACTCTTGTTAGGGACAGGTTCTGCCTCAACTATGTTGTTTGTTTGCTACATTGCTGGCCTACAACAACTGGATGATTCAACAGCATGCCATAGAGGTATTCACTCAGTTTGCAGAGGTAAGAGGAACTTCTTTTGTCCCCATAAATAGCAATTTTAGGCTGGAAAGGCAGTCCAGACAGAATGAAGCAGCTTTCAGCCTACAAATAACTCATTTGGATTTTCTTTTTAGTTGTAATTTTTGCTGTTTTCACCCTTCCTTGGGTGAAATAAGTGATATTGGTTTAGAGTTTTAAAATAGTAACATTAAAATAAATGCCTTGATGAAAAATGAATATCTAGAAGACAGATACGATTTCAGAACCTATATTCTTCATTAAATTCTGGGAACGCTTGTTTTAAATTCCACTAGTGCAAAACATTTCCAATACTTTAGTAGAAATTTCTTGATTCAGCTTAATCATGATTCCATTAAAGTAACTGAGCCGCCAAATGAAGTTGTTTATAGCCCTGACTTCATTTATTTTGTATGTAGGAAACAAGCCATGAGGATATTCTTCCCCAGTGTCTTAAGTCGGAAGAAATCAAAAGCAAAGTTGTTACTTTCCTCTCAAAGGTAGTTTTTCAAGAATATTTATGCCAGTTGCTGTCAGATTGTTGTTTTGAAATTACTTTTTCCTAAAGCATCTGTATTTTTGTTTCCTGTATTGTTTTGCACTATAGCCAGCATCCTGTTAGAGCACTGTGGAAGTTGGCATTACTTTTCTGCCTTGCAGCATCCATCTGATCTAGTGACAAGACAGATTTTTGTTCTTTCTGCATTTGTACAGTCATCCAGTTATCCAAGATTATTTCTGTATAGTTTCTGTGGAATTACACACATTTATTTGGTATATTTATATCACACCTTGACAAGAAATCTCCATGGCATTTATTAACCTTTGAAAACTAGTGTGATAGTTGGCACCTTCACAGAATTACATCTAGGGCCCTTCCACACAGCCATATAGCCCAGAATATCAAGGCAGAAAATCCCACAATATCTGCTCTGAACTGGCTTATCTGGGTCCACACTGCCAAATATTCCAGTTTAAAGCAGATAATGTGGGATATTATTCAGCTGTGTGGAAGGGGCCCAGAATCCTGTAGCGGTTTCATTTGGGAGCTGGTACCCACCAAATTGTGAAGTTCTGAGTATGCACACACAACTAGTGTCAACTGAGATAAGACAATAATTTAAAGCTCATTGCTCTTCTAAACTCCACTGTAGCAGCAACAGCTTATAATTTAACAATACATTTCTCCTGTGGCTTTCCTTTCAGACCCATGATATTGAGGAATCAGCAGAAGCACAAGCAGAACGGATGAAAAAGGAAAATGCTCTTCTCAGCTCCCACTTAGGGGAGACCACAGAAGAGAACCAAAGCGACCTGATTTTAGAGGTATGTGATCTTGAGTGAGAGCATTAATACAGGAAGCCTTTATGGGTGCCCACTGTCATGTAGATTTTCGTGTTCAAGCAATACTAAGGGTGTGGGGATAAACTTGTACCAGCAAACTTCAGGCTAATTTGTGCCAAACATTTTTTGGTAATAGCTGTTGTCAACAGCCACTTACATTATTACACCAACTCTTTCAGTCAGTACATCTCTTCTGCTTAGTAGTATGTGGTGCCCTGTTCAGAAGATGATTTGTGCATCCCTCCCCATGGAGGCTTCTCCCATCACCCCTGCAAAGAGCCTGCACGTGCTCTCAAAATATGACATTGGTACCAAATACTTCTCTTTCAAGTAATGAGTGAACTTGGGACATCTCTCCTTTGTCCAGGTATATGGATATTGTTTATATGACAGCAGAGGTGATTAAGAGCTCTTTAATGAAGTCCTAGCAGGGGACTAGATTGAGTCAGGGTGATCAGGTGCATGAACCTCCAAATTGGGGGAGGGGGTGATTTTAGAGAGCAACCTCTACATGGGTGTGTGAGGAGCTGGCAGGATCACAGAAGCATCTAGTTACATTGATATGGTCAGTACATGAAATGATGACATTGGCAATGATATCTGCTGGGGTTCTCCAGAGATTCTCCAATTTCACACCTGCCTGCTATCCTTCTTGCTCTCCAGAAAGTATGATGGCTCTGCTGGGGCCTTCAGGGGATGGTCAGCAACAGTGGTATGTGACTCAGTGTAGAGTTAGTCTGCATGGTAAGACATAAGGGTTGCACTGAAGTTGTTTACCAACACTTACCACATAGCTGAGATTGTATTGTTGCCTTTTACGTTCCTAACTACATCAATGGCTGATTGCATCTCCCTATATGAACCTATCTGGGCCATGAGAGCTTAAGGAGAGGCCCTTCTCTCGATCCCACCTCCATCTCAAGCACGGTTGGTGGGAACGAGAGAGATGGCCTTTTTGGTGGCTACTCCATGACTCTGGAACTCCCTTCTTCCCAGGGAAACCAGAATGGCCCCCTCCCTGCTGCCCTTCCAGTGGCAGGCTAAAACCTTTTTGTTCGGGCAGGCTTTTAAAGAAGGTGGTTTTTAATTTCAAGTCAGAGGCTGCTGTAGTTTTAGCTATGAAAGGGTTTTAATTGGTTTTAAGGATTTTAACTTTATTTTTAATACCATTAATATTTAATTCTGTTTTAATGCTTAATTTTAGGTTTTTATTGTATTGTATTGTATTAGTTTTATTGGGTTTTTTTTAGTCTCTTTCTTAGAGAAATAAAGTGAGATACCACCACTACTACTACTAATACTACTACTACTACTAATAATAATAATAATTCAACAGTCATTGCAGCACAGGAAGTATTACCATTTAATAAAGGCAAGGGTTGATCTGGCACCAGAAAAAAACTAGTCAATATTCAGTGTTAGAAGGGCAATGAAGTATCTATCAAGCACATTCTATTGATGCACAGCATTCACAAGTAAGCCAAGGTTTACAAAAGAGGTATGGCATATAAAGAGTTTCCTGCCATGAAATGAAGATTTGAAAATGGAGATCGAATACCTCTCTTAAGAACAGTTGGTGCCATTGTCAGGTGCTGCAGAGATTGTAACCTTCTTGAGTGATGGGTGATGATTCCAGATAGAAATGTAAAAGACAGTCAGTTAGATGTGATTCAAAATTTCAGTGTGAGAGGGAACCCCAACAAATGCTGGCCCATGATCAAGGAAATGATGCACAGAAGGGTCCGGAAAGATTTTGCAAGTGTCAAGAGGTAATTATATTTTGAGTAAAGAATTTAAAATATATAACCTAAGAAGATGCAGGTCCCTGTAGTATTGCAACCCTTTTCTAGCTGTTGGTAGTCAGAAGCCAAGGGCCTGGCTTGCAGGAGTCTCTGCCTTAGGTTTTAGGTTGGGCTACCTGAAGGCCAGATTATAAACTTAGTCCCTATGAATAAATAAAAAAACTTGCATAGCAGGCTACATTGAACAACTTCTGTTGGTCTTGACTGCATTGACTGATTTCATCTTACTACATATAGCTTACCATTCCTCTATTTTGAAAGTTCATATTATGGAAGTCTTTTTTGGTTTTCATTCCGTAGCCCTCCCCCAAAAGGACCTGCTACTCGCCCAGTGAGGTGCAGTACACATCGGCCATTGACTCCGCTGAAAGAACACTGGAGGTGCTGAAGCAGCTGCTCCAGAAGGGTCCGCCCCCCATTTGGCTTGCAAAGAAATTAGACACATTACAGATGACGCTGAGCAACTTAAGGAAGGCCATATGTTGACAATTTAATTCTTCATCTCAAGGTGATTGCCTTATTATACAGCTCTATGCAAGATGGACAAGCGAAAGCCCAAAAGACAAGCTGCTTCCCACCATGGACAGCCTCAGGTGTTAATGTTGCTTGCTCAGTTTATTTATACATGTTACAGGTATAGAATGGAAAAATCAAGGTAGGAAACCAAGCTAAGCAATCGGCCTTGAACAAAAATACATCTCCTTTTTTAGATGCCATTCACGTTCAGCGTTATCTCCCAGGATATTTTTCTACCAGCAGGAAGGATATATTACAAGTATGATCAACTGTTGCCCTGAGGCCCTCCCATCTAGTAAAGAAAGCATCCTGCTTATAAATGAAGATTTGCTGCTATATTGTGGTCTTATTCCTCCAACTTAAGCATACGCTCTTCTTTTTTAGTCTTTTTCTTCTCTGAATATGTATTATTTTGATAGATAGTATTAAAATTGATAAATCACACAATAGACAATAGATAATTTGCTTTATAGGATTGACAAGAAAACGCAGTAGGCCAGATCTGAGTACATTACAAGCCAGTGTTATTTTATTTAGGCTGAATCTACACTCCCCTATATCCCAGGATCTGATCCAAGATTATCTGTTTTGAACTGGACTATATGAGTGTACACTGCCATATAATCTGGGATCAGAACCTGGGATATAGGGGAGTGTAGATCCAGACTCCATGCATTAAACAAATTCACATACTGATAGTTGGATATGTGAAAAAATTCTAATTAAAATCCCACTTGAAAATGGAAAACCAAAGGTAAACTAACACAACTGTCAATTAGTGATCAGATTTTCTTACTGAAAAAAAAAGATACTTCCTTTTCTACTCTGTTTTCGGTGTTAAACTGTTCAGGAAACTAAAATAGCAGTAGTCCATATATACACAGTAGTCCACAAAGGTAAGGTACATGGAATTCAGGATATCAAGATCATAGGCATAAATCCATAAGCATGAAAACTAGCTTTTCCAAGGCACTCTTACATGACACAGGTAAACATAGGAGATTCAATTCATGAACATGAGAGCTGAAACAGGAACTTGATTCTTTGGCAACGTCTGCTCTGAACACAAAGAAAACATCACTTAATTTAAGCATAGGCCTAGCCAAGAAGCCATGAGTTCCAAGGATTTCTTACAGGGTGCAAGGACTTCTCATGGAGTCTTTCTGACCTAATTAATCTCCTTCACTCCCTCCATGCGGGAGCCCAATCTGATACCATGGGAAAGCTCCCCATCTGCTGAAGACCGCTTCCCCTGACAGACGGAATCCCAAACATCCTCTATCTCATCTACAGCTGCTGGCACTTCTCCTTGATCTAAGGCCTGCAGTTCACCTTGTGGTTCAGCTGGATCACACACAGACCCAGTGAAAAAAGCATCATCTCCTTGTCCTCTGAGGATCCCCCAGCATCTTGCTGCTGAGCCCCAACACAAGCCTGGATGGTTGTCAAAAGCAGAACCATGTAGAGCACTCTGCAATACTGATAAATATAACTTAGCACACTATCTTGGCCCCGCTTGATTCAACTTAATTTCGAATTTTAAGTTAGGAATAAATTCCACGAATCTGTGTTTTGAGACTAGGGCATCAGTTAACATAAGGTGGTATCAAGTGACTATGTTGGTGTAATGAGTTACTTGTTAAAACTCAACGCTCTAGCAGTATGTAACATGAATGAAGTTCCTCTGCAATTGAAGACTCGTTCCCAAATCTAGACCCACATCCTTGAAATGTAACACATATATTCATTAAAAGCTTCAACATATATCTGTGTAGAACTCGGGAACATCGTTAAACCATCCCTGACAAAACATAGTGGTGGAAGTAAAAGCCAGGAGGAGAAAGAGGGTTAAAAGTACAGGAGAGAGGGAGGTAGTGTTGTGTGTTTAAGTTTCCCTGAAATGTGTTTTTAAAAGAAAAAGATATTCTCTCAGGCTAGGAAGACTTGCAGACATAAAACCCTTGTTAGTAGTAATTAGATACCATGAGACTCCGAAGGAGAGCTGCTAAAACCACAAAAGAATTTTAAATCACCAGAGAACCCTGGTAGGTATTTAATGCCAGACAAACACAGTTCAGTATCTTCCTGGTAAAGAAAACAGAATCTGCTAAACAAACAGAGACACTGCAGTGATTTTTATAAACAGTGGGAGCATTCTATTAATCCCAAATTCCAGAATTCTTGAGAAGACTCCCAGCCTCAGTTATATATTTCAACAGGCACCCTTCTTTGTCTTGCCTCCATTTACCATCCTAACAGCTGGTAAACTGGCTGGGATTTCTGGGAGTTAGAGGCCAAAAACATCTGGGGACCCCAGGTTGAGAACCACTGCTGTAATGTATGTCAGGCATCTGTGAAGACAGCCAGCCATCATATCAAAACCCTCAAGAACTGTATATTTAAGACACAGCTACCTCCAGGTGTATATTAATGCCATTATCCCCTGTGGTGTGAGTTCTGTTCAATACAGCTGTCTATTCTTCTCTCAATGGTTCTAGTTTTCCCTGCTTTATAGTTTTTTCTATCCACTCTTGAGAGTTAACATTCTGTAAAAACTCAAATATCAGATACAAATAAAGCATGCATATATAAATGGCGTATCCAAGTGATCATGTATGTGTGCATATTGGTGTACTGCAAAATGTTAGTGCTCAAAAAAGGGCTTTTTATATACAAGAACAGCTTGTCTTGAGCAAGAGCTTTTTATATACAAGAACAACAGAAAATGGCCCTCCCGCAAAACCTACTTTTAGGGCCAGGCAGCTGCATCCTTCAACAGTAGGATTTCCAAGGTGCAGCTAGAGCAATATGGGCAACTGCAAATACACCAGGGCCATTTTTCCTTCTGCCAGGTTGGGCCATAAGAACATATTTCAGCATGCAAGTAATAACATGTCACTAGCCAATCTCCTTCCTCCCTTTAGCAATGAGGCATCTAGCTGCCTCACTGCTTCACTGGCATCAGGCTTCACTGCTCGAACTGCTAGAACAAGGCTGGCCTTTTTTGAAAATGGCATTCATAACATTTTGGGAAAACCAGGAATCTTTTGGAAAGGTATGACCTTGTTAGCAATTGTAACCTTATGTAAAGTATGATCTTCCTGAGAAGAGTTTAAAAATTGCTTGAGTCAAGCTTCTCCTTAGTGGTAGATATCCACTAGCCTTCATGCAAAGCAATTAGGTTTCTCAGCTGTTAGACTGATATACCTAGAACAGTTCCTTGAACTGTTAGGAACAAAGATATGCCAATGCCCAAAAAACAAGTTTCAGAAGTGTTATTTTCAGTTGCCCAAAATCATATAATCTTCCTTAAAACATCTTTGTTTAAATCATGCTCTCAGGAGACCAAAAATAAGTAGACTTCTTTAAAAGTAACGTATCTGGTTAACTCACAAACTTCCATGTATTCAGCATACAGGTGCATTGCTTATCAATCCTGTTACACATAGATGTGAAGTAGTTTTTCTGTGCAGAGAATACAGGGCATCTTTCTGATAATCTTAGCAGTCCAAAGTCTAAGCATCTCTCTGTTCTGAGAGTCTAACAGAGTCTGTCCAGTCTGAGAGTCTAATGGCATCTGTACATTCTAAAATGGAGTCTGAGATCTGAATAGTCCCAGATCTGGTCACATGGTCTGCAGTCCTTCCCACAACATAGAGTTAAGGAAACTTGAATGCCACTACACACATACACAATATAGTAAGCTATCTGAATTGTGCACTTAACAAATAACTGGTATAGGAGGCTTGAAGAAGGTTGCTATTTCCAACACGCCTGGCCTTCAAGGCATGTTTAAAGTGCTGGCATAGTGTGACGTAGTTGACGCCAGTGGATCTCTGTTGTCGTAGCTACATCTTCCAAGGCGGAAACTGAGTCTATCTTTTAAGGCAGCAAGCAGGGGATACTTGCATTCCTTGTTTCAATCTTGCGTTTATTTCCCAGAAAAGTAGAACATACAAAATGTATGTCATAAGAAAATTCCAAATATGGGAATGATGTATGAACAAATTATGTTTTTAATTAATCAAAACTGAGAATTAAGAATGCAAAGGAATTTTAAAACACTAACTACAAGAATTTCCGTCAATTAAAATCAGGTTTGAAGATTTGATTTCTTACATATTTTTGTTGTGTGCACCCTTTTTTCAGGATTCTTAGTTCAATAGGAATTTTTAAACAACTCAATCTTTGAGTGATACGTCTGAGTTGCTCTGAATAACGAGATCTGAAATTCATTTATGCTCCAAGTACTGTAATTTAACTGAATTGCTTTCTCAGTTTGGTTTAGGTCCTAACCTAAGCGAATGCAAAACCAGGTGATTTATTGATGTATTGAACACAGGGAATAGCCTTCCCACAAGTACAATTGAACGATGTGTCCCCTGCCACTCCACAAATGTAATGTAACGGGTCATTTTAGGTGAATTACCCTGGAAATTTCTATGCAGAAGAGGCATAAAAATGCACCAATAAAAATAAGACTTTTGAAACCTGGTAGAGTGTTATTGACATTTTCTTCATCTTCTCCCTTATACACAAAAGCAGAGGCAAGCTTCCTATGCTGCAATACTGCTGGGTAAATACTGACTCCAGAGGGTAATATAACCAGAGGCTCCTCCATTGTAACGTGTTTGCTCCATCCATAACCTTGTCAATCCCAACAGTTTTGCAGAGCTTTTTTCTATTTCAAAGATGCTAGGAAGGAGAACAAATCAGCCAAAGATAGATAAATGTAACATTCCTTACAGCACTCGGAGCAGGAAGCTGAATAAACACAATAAATAAACAATGGGGTATTATTATTTCAATTTTTCTGTTGGCAGAAGCGAGACAATACTACCACCCTAAATAGATTTACCGCAAAGTAAACTCCACTAAACAAAGTTAACATCAAGTAAACATAGGAATTACCGTACCTGAAGAATCTTGTGATAAAGAGCTCAAATTTGAACCAGTATCTTAGCCTGTAGAGTTCAAGGCTGCTCCATTTCAATGTTCAAAATACATAACACTCTAGCCCTTTCTCATCTGGTGATGTTCTTGGGCCATCCTGATCCCTGATACATTATCATGAATAATACTGAATTCTTTAATACAAATATATTCACCCCTTGGCAAATCTGGACATGAGACTGAGAAAAGGTTGCCTTCAGGACACAAAATAAGTGCGTCATTCCTCAACATGAATGCGGCTTGGTGCTCGCAATGAAATCTCCCATCTATCCACACATTTCTAGCACTGCAATAGCTGAAAACTTCAACTGAGCATTGAGAAATACAATGTAGGCAGCCAAAGGAAAGCAGCAGGCTAAAGAGTAACTACGCAAAAGAGAACACGACAGAAGTAAGCCTGTGAACTATTCTTGTCGTGTCAGTCTTTGCAATGCTAGAAATTTAGGGACTGCTCAAAATTTTATTTGGGGAGCAGAATTCCTATTTTGAGATTTTTGTTTGTGTCAGGAGCGACTTGAGAAACTGCAAGTTGCTTCTGGTGTGAGAGAATTGGCTGCATGCAGAGACGTTGCTCAGGGGATGCCCAGATGTGTTACCATCCTGTGGGAGGCTTCTCTCATGTCTCCTCATGAGAAGATGGAGCTGACAGACGGGAGCTCACCCCACTCCCTAGATCTGAGCAAGGATGTGTTACCATCCTGTGAGAGGCTTCTCTCATGGGAAGCTGGAGCTGACATACAGGAGCTCACCCCACTCCCTGGATTCAAACCGCTAACTTTTCAGTCAGTCCTGCTTGCACAAGGGTTTAATCCATTGCGCCACTGGGCAATGCCCTCATTTGCCCCTCCCTATAGTTATATTCCTGAACGTGTGTGAGAGCTGCTTCTGCTAATCCTTCTCACTGAACCAAAGGAACTCTGGATGCATCTAGACTCGAGAATTCATACGGTTTGGCACCACTTTCACTGCTATGTCTAGGTGCGACTGAATCCCAGAAGTTGT